GGGGGGGGGGGGGGGGGGGGGGGGGGGGGGGGGGGGGGGGGGGGGGGGGGGGGGGGGGGGGGGGCAGCACTTTTTGTCTCTCGGTCACTGTCCTCCTCATCTCCCTGTTATTGAGTCCACAGTGGACGGTCAGAAGGATCTATTGGAATTACATCACTGAGACTTGGGGTGGCAGACCCTTGAGGGCCGTGCTTCTCCTTGGAGCAGCAATAGGGTGCAGGACGAAGGTACAGACGGCATGCTGCCATTGTCAGAGCACCGACTCAAGGTGAGGCACCACCTGACCTGAGACTCTAAAGGATGACCCTGGCTGCTGTGTTGACAGCGGACGGACAGCAAAGCCCAAGGCAGAAGCAGAGAGATCAGGGAGGAGATCCTCAGAAGACTGGACGGCAGGTGGGCAGAGTTGACGACAATGGCTACATTCCGAAACCTTTCTAAAGGCGGAGTGACAAGACCCGGGAAGGATCAGAGGGGTGGGCAAGGGGAGGCAGGGGACCAAGGACGATGTGGACTGGACAGACAGGAAGACCAGGAGGAAAATCATGTGTTGGACACATTTAAGTTTGAGATGCCACGAGACATGAAAGCCATGAAACTGGGCAGTCCTGGATCTGAGATTCAAGTCCAGGGGCCAGATCTGGGCTGAAGATGCGGATCTGGGAATGATCAGAACCTGGGACTAGAAAGAGGCCCAAAGACAGGGCCTGGGGGCACAACAACAGTTACAGACTGGAGAGGAGAGGGAACAGTAAAGGAAGAGGGGGAGGGAGGAAACCCTGGGGTCATGTCTTCAAAACTGAGGGAAGAACATGATTCAAGGGCGGGGTGGGGGTGTCACTGGGTCAAATGCTGCTGCTGAGCAGTACAATGGGGTGGCCAGGGCATGGAGTCAGGAGGACTCTGTGTTAAGAGGGCAGCATTGTAGCATGTTTCTGTGCTGACAGGAAGTTCTAGGCACTGTACTAGGCATGGGGGGACAACAGTGGACAAAAGGGACATGTTCCCTGCCTTTGTAGTGCTTACTGTCCGGTGGCCTCTTGTGCTCATGGGCAATGAATTAGACAAGCAAGCTCCATTTATTTATTTATTTATGGTCGCTACTCTTTTCCAATAATGCAATCAAAAATATTTGTGCTCAGAATGGATATTCTATATTTATCATGAACATTGATATTATTTGTGGAATGCCTACATTATTAGCCCTAAATTACATTAGGTCAGCTTATAACTACCATAAAATCTTAGAGAACACTTCATCAGTTTTGTTTCCTGGGGTGACACAGGAAGCAAGGTCGCGGCGGGTGGGTGAAACAGGAAGCAAGGTCGTGGCGGGGCGGGTGGTGTTGAGAGAAAAGTGCAAGTCTGCGAGAGCTTCTGGGAGGGTGGGGACCGGCTTGGAGAGAAGGGGCTCTGGTGGATCTGCTGATGGGGGAGGAAGGAAATGAGGCCAAGGGAGTGGGGGGTGATAGAACGGTGGATGGCAGGTCCCAGGGGATCAAAGAATTTTGAAGTTGGGTCACTAGAGGGAGTGAGTTAAGAAAGAGGTGACGACTGACCAGTACCTTAATTGAGATAATGGAAGAGGCACAGCTATTGGCAATGGCCAAGCCGAGGCAGGAGTATGGTGGACAGAGCTGAAGTGGACAGGGGAACAGGTGGCAAGGATGAACTGGGAGGACAGGGTCATCTATGCAAACACCAAAATCACCACTCCAGGAGTGTGGACTGCAAGCCAGGAGTCAGATACTGCCCCCAGGTCAGGGGAGAAGAAGACTAGAATCAAATGTGGGTCGTGGTAACGCGGCACTTGCAGCAAGAAGGAGAGCTGGCCAGGCACAGTCCATGGTGTGGGCTTCAGGGAGAAAGGAGGGAGAATGGTCTAGAAGCATCAATGAGTGTGCAGGAAGAGGAAGCAGCTGTACCTGGTGCTGCAGGAGAAGCAGCGCTCTGGGGAAAGCCAGGTCTTAGGAACAAAGAGGTGATGGAACTGTTCAGAAGAGGCTAAGCCCTAGCAGCCTGAGAAATAGTCACAGTGGCCACAGACAGCATGGTAAATGAGTACACACCAAAGGAAAGACAAAGGAAAGGCCTGGTGCTCTGGGGTGGGAGTGGCTGAATTCCTGACCTGTGGGAGCTGGGAGTCCAACATCTGGGAGGCACCCAGACCAGCAGCCTGGCCAAGCTGGCCCTCGTAGACCAGGGTTTGGTTTCCACTCACGGGCTGGTAGGGTGAACCGGACTGGGGCTTCACCATCTCTAAGGGCTGCATGCCAGGGAACGCTGAGTACGGAGGCTTCAAGGCTGTGCCCCCAGAGAGAATCATGGTGCTGGGCGGTGACAAGCTGGGGTGCATGTACACCTGAGATCTGCAAAAGCCAGATAGACAGTGGGGTCAGGTGGAGGAGCACTCTGGTGAATCTCACATGCAGCAGGCATCAGAATGCCCAGAAAGCTTGCTGAACACAGATCCCCGGCCCTACCCCCAAAGCTTGACTAAGAGGGTCTGGGATTGGCCTGAGAATCTGCATTTATAACAGGCTCCTGGACGGTGCTGAAGCTGCTGGTATAGGAACCATAGTTTGAGCATCACTGGAATAAACGGACACATCCAGGAAGACCTGCAGGATGCCCAAAGCACAGGACATCAGATACATGGAAAAAGCAGACCAAAGGCAGGGGAGGGGCAGAGGGAGGGAGCAAGGGAAGGGGCAGGATGACAGGGGAAAGGAAGGACAAAGCCCACTACCTATCAGCCAGGCCCATGGTCTCTCCTACAGCCCCTGCCCCCACCACTGGCCCCAAAGCAGGGAAGTAGGGGGTAGCTGCAAGACAAAGGCAGCACGAAGGTCTAAAGCCATGGCCTCCAGTTGCCAGCTCCAAGTCCCCACGTGAGCTCACCTGAAGGGCTGTAATGAGCTGAAGATCTCCTGAGACTGGGAGACGGGAAGCCCACCCCTCAGTCCAAGCTGAGCTTGAGCCTGCAGAGACGTGTGGAGGGAGATTGGGATCTGCTGGGCAGCGGCAGCCTGTGAAGGGGAAGACAGGCACCAGGGTAACTGCAATGCCCTCCAGGGTGGTGTCCACCTCCCACTGCCCTGGCCCCTCTCCACATGGCAGCCAGGACACTGCCCCGAATGTGAATTCCAGCACGTCCTTCCTGGGTTTCCCTTGCTCTTGAGATCAAGCTTACAGCAAAGGACCAGCGGCAACCCCAGACCACATTACATCCTACACTGGAACGCTGCTCAGCAGTGAGAGTTGATCCTGGCTGCACGTGTCAACAGAGGCTACTTTCAGAAACTAATGTTCAATTAAGAAATGTACATAAAGAAGGATACATGCACTATGATCCAGTTATATGAAGATCAAAATCTTGTAAAACTTAAGTATACATTTTAAAAAAGAAGTCAGGACAGGCCATGTCCTCTGTCCTCTGACCTCTGACCCTGAACCTGCACTAGCAGCAGATTCTGCCTAAGAACTCCACCGTCATGTGGTGCAGCCACATGGGTCTGTGGGGTGCCTGGAACATGTGGAAGGCCTAGCACCAGCTTTAGGAGGAAGCATCCAAAAATCATCCCCTTGCAGCACAGAAAGTACGCCAATCCTGCACAAAAACAAATGCCTGCTCATTTCTAAAACTACCTCTTTCTAATGCATCCATGACTGGGAGTCTAGGCCTTTCTTCTCTTCATCAGAAGGATACCTGATCACCAAAGAAAATTCCATTTTAGCTAATTCCCCAGCTAGGATACAGGAAAGAGAACTTTGAGAAAGGAAAATTAAGCAGAGTCTGGAGCATTTAACTCCATTTCTATCCCTTGTCTCTTGTTTATTCATTCAATAAATATTTTCTGGCTGCCATTATGTGCCAGGTGCTGGGCATCGCATGTGAGGGATACAGAAAGCAAGACAGACAATGAACAAATAAATGGAGAAAGTAATTATGCCTTGTGCTGCACCTTCCCTCCCCGCACCAGGCCACCTGGCTTGCTGTCACCTGTTGGTAACTCTGCTGCTGAGGTATTGTTTGTGGAACCAGCCGGGGCTGACTTGCAAACACATGGCCGTCCAGGTACAGAGGTGGGAGGTGGCTGCCTGGAAAGAGAATCCGGGAGGAGGTAGAAAAAGATCAAGTCTTACTGTTTCTGAACGTCCCTTTAGGGGGGACATTCCACACGTCTACTCTTCCCAGGGGACTCGGTGGGGATGAAGAGGGTGGGTGCAGAGGCTGCTTGGTGTCTGGCTTCTGCAGCACGTGCCCACTCCCAGCACACCTGGCGTGCACCCCAGGGAGCTGGGAGGCTGCACATCAGGCCCACTTTTCCCACTTAACCACTCTCCAACTGCCCTGGACACTGGGCTGGGTAAGAAGGAGGGGGGAGGTATTCTACTCGAACTGAGGGCTGCCTTGGTCTCTCAGTCACCGTCCTCCTCATCTCCCTGCTATTGAGTCCACAGTGGAGGGTCAGAAGGATCTATTGGAATTACATCACTGAGACTTTGGCAGCTGGGCCCCCAAAATCCCCATGCTCTCCCTTGGGGCCCTAACACAGTGGCAAGGATGTGACGCTAAGGGTACAGAAAGCTACCACTCATTGAGGGCTCAGATGATACAAAGCACCCTCCAGGTAAGAGCTCACCCACAGGCGCACCTACCCCTGGAGCATCACCTTCACCCCCATTTTATTTTACAGAGGAGGAAGGTGCAGTTCAGAGAGGGAGCAGCTCGCTGGCAGAGGTGGCACAGCACTGGCATGGGACCCAGGTTCGACTCAAAGCCAAGTGTGTGCTCACTCCTTTCCTCTCTCTAGGACATGCTAGAGCCTCGCCATGGTCCCACAGCCCCGACTCCCAGTGTAGGGAAGCAGGAACATGAGAAGCTGTGACCACCCGGCCTAAAAACAAATTGCTACTTCTACATGCCCCTTCAGCAAAGCATGGCCAGTAACCCAATGTTCTCTCAGTAATGAACGGAGAAGGCTCCAAGGCCGGGCTCAGGGGATGCTCTACCTGGCATAGAAGCAGAAGGTGCCACAGAAGCCACAGGCATGGGTGGCATGGATACGCCACCGAAGGAGCTGTAGTTGACCCCGTTGGAGGCACCTGCAGAGGACGGAGGCTGGATGCCTGAGCCAGTGCCTCCTGGAGAGCTCTGCTCCGGCAAACTGGGGGAGTTTTCCCAAGCCTTGCGTGCAGACTCCATCTTTGGAAGCAAGGGAGGGGGAAGGATGACAGTTACTCCCAGGGTGGCAGTGGACAGTACAAAGCTAAGCTTCGGGGGTGGCGATTCCTCCCTCCTGCCCCTCTACAAGCTAAAGCACCGTGCAGGCCCTTGACAGCTCAGGGCTGGTGTTACCTTCAGAGTGAGGTCAGCAGTGGGGAAGGACATGGGGGAGAGGCCGATGGCCCTCTGGATGTGATGATCCCGCCGGAGGATGGGAATACTCTGTGTTAACCCTGCCTGGAGAGGGGGAAAAAGGAAACCATGGAACACAAATGGGCAGGGTAAACCAGACGGCTTGTCCACGTTGCATCTTCGCGTTTGGCTATGTACTCCAGACCACAACTTATATCCTCTATATGGTGGCCTTCATCAGTTTCCTCTACAGAAATCCATGGAGAGCCCCTTCCACACCCACACTGCATGGAGCCGCCCTCCAGACAGGACAGTCAGTCCCACCAACATAAAAATGGACTGGCTGCCAGCACGCAAGCACCTGGTTCAGCAGACGCCTAACTCCTGGCATGGAGATACCCAAGTCCAGACAGAGAAAGGCCATGGCTATCACTCAGCCCCTCAGAAAACTACGAAAAAAAAAAGGTAACAAAGGCTGGAAATGCTACAGCTAGACTCTCTTGCACCCAGGTGTCCATGCGCACATTATAGCAACTCTGAGGCATCTTGGAGTGAAGCCACTTGTTTAGCCCACCATTTTCACATGTGACCACAGACCTGTTCTTCATTCTATACCTGTCAACATTCTGCAGCAATGATGTTCCTTGAAACCCTCTGGGAGATGCCGCCCAAAGGATTCATTCAGCCTATCTACTGAGCACCAATTCCACCAGACTATGAGGACAGAGCAGTGAATAGAAATGTCACTGTGACAGCCCTGGTTGTGGCCAGGAGTGGCCCACAACTGATGCATCTCCCTGCTCTTGAGTCCACGGTGGAGGGTGAGGAGGTCTGCTGACCACAACAGACTGAGAGCACAGAATGCAAGGAGCTCCAAGTGGTACAGGTAGGGCCTTCAGACAAGGCCCCCTACTTCAGTTGCGTCACCTACTGGCCATAGAAAAGACAGTCTGTACCAGGTTCAGCCTGCACCTAGCACAAAGGAGCACTGTGGAATAAAAGAAAGCCAAATAAACTTGACCTTAGGAATTACATTTTTTCCCCACTGGTAGTCGCAAAACCTAAGTGTGAAACATTTAAGCAACTTGCCAAAGGACACAGAGTTGGCTAAAGACTGAGTCACAACTTACACCCCGAGTCCCTGACTCCAGACAATATGTCATCTCTCCTTTCACTCAGGGCCTGCCAGCGACAGGTACACAAGCAGAGCTGGAGGTGGAAGTGCAGACTTACATTACTGGCCAAGGCGTCCTGGAGTTTGACAACTGGATTCCCTGCAGGTCCTGGGGCAGAACCAGGTGGCAAGCTGAAATCGGAGTCCTGAAAAAAAGGGCACACAGACCACTGACATCCTCCTGGTCACCTTTCCCCAGAGGCACACATTAATGTGATCAGTCCCCGAGACTCAAAACTCTACTAAGCAGCGTTCACCAGAGCCACACCTGAGCAAGGTGGCCAGATGTTTCCTGATGGCACATAAGGACGGAATCCACCCTCGCTCCTCTGTCCCTGCCCACTGCCCCTAGTGGTGAGATTGAGACAGGGAAGATCACTGGCCTGCTTGGTCTGAAAGCCTGGCCAGTGATAGGAAGGCCATCTATAGGCGATTCACCAGCACCTGCCCCATTCGTGACTCCACGCCTCTGCACTTTCCCCAGAACTGCACTCAGCTCCCATCTTCCTGCTCTTTCTAGGAGACAAACCTATCTAAGCCCCTGCCTTTCCAAGCACCAAAACAAAAAAACAAAAACAAAGCAAAAGAAGAAGGAAACAAATCAAAGCCTCACTTTTGGATTGACTCCAAATTCAATAGGTGGCACAGGCAGCACGGAGTCCACGTGAATCTCTACCCCGTTAACAGGCGGGACGACGGCCCCTTGTAGCCGCTCGGCCCCCTCCGAGCCCTTTCTGTTTTTCAGAGAACGCTCATTGCCGATGGGTCCTGGTCTGTGTTCCTTGTTCTGTCCTGAACCTTGTTCTGAATCCTTGATGGAAAAGCAGAGAGGCTGAGACACACAGACTGGAATGACTCCCATCTCTAGCTTCTAAGTGTCCTGGAAATTGGAGAAGACAAGACAACAGCACCTTCCGCCCTGGCCACTGTGAGGGGAATTCCAGGTTACCTTCTGCTCAGATTGCTTCTGAGCCTGCTCCTTGTGGCTGTCGGCCTTGGGTTCTGCCAGGCCGGGCCCATTCATCTCCTCTGGTTTCATAGTACCATATGGGGAGCTGCGCTGGGAGGAGGTCGCAGACGACTCCCGAGACTCGGCACTCAAGTCAACGCCACTATCTCCCTGGCTGCTCTTAAAACCCTGCTGTGCAGAGCACAAAATGGGTTAGAGCCCTGATCCCAAACTCCAAAATGCAATCCTCTAGAAAGTGAGATTGCATGTGGGACTAAGACAATCTCCCCCAACCACCTGCCCCTTGCGAACTCCTGTCCTGATCTTGGTCCTGACCTACTGATGGTGCCTGACAACTTACACATGGCGAAATGCACCAACCCTAGTCAAGCTCATGGCCGTGAGCTTCTCTGTGGGCCCTTGACCGAGACTACCAAAGTCAGTTCACTCGTGACCCAAACCAGACTGAGCTGGACACCGAGACCAGTCCTGAGGAGGCCGTCACTCAATCCCTCTCACAACCCAGGGTGGGTTTCTTTCTCCCGCTCATGCAGGCACCACACACAGACCAGAAATCAAGAATGAAGAACAGCGACAAGCCAGCGCCTGTGGAAACGGCTGTTGTGGCAGAGGCCTGGGGCCAGCTGCCACATAGATGGTCAGCACACATGCAGCGCTTGAGCAGCACACACGTGGCGGCCACACTCACCTCGGTGGAGCCAGGCTCGGTGCTGAAGGCAGTGACGGCTTTCCGCCAGGAGTCACTGGCTGAGGCCTGCACAGGGAGGGCTGCCAGAGGGAGGAAGACAGAGTCAGGGCAAAGAGGAACAACCAGTCTGCATTTATGGGCTCTTAAAAACAAGCACAGGTACAGCTTACAGAAATCCAATTCCCTTAACTGCCCCCACTCCCACAAATGACACATTAGTAAACAGATGTGATGCACAGGAGCTGGTCTGATAGCTATACCCAACTTTCCAAAGTCCTCAGACAGATTCCAACACACGTTTCTCAGTATGTCATCAATTATGTGCTATAATAAATACATTGCAATTTTTGGCCCACCTGTTTGAATTCTCTATCTACCCCTGCTGAGTTGATGCTTTCTTTCACTTAAGCCAACTATTTATTCCTCAAAGTTGGCAGCTTCTATGAAGTCTTTGAAAGATCCAAAGGGTATTACTCAAATCTTGTTAGCTCATGACTATTCTGAGAATTCAACAAAACCCTGAGTCCAGAAAAATGTCTATGCACACCAAACTTTACATACTATTTTATAGTCCAGGGGCCTTCTGAACCATCCCTAGACCCCTAGTCTGAGCAACCAAAGAATCCTGGGGGAAAAGGAGGATACGCTTCAGTCTACTGCGCACAGCCAAACCGATCTGGCAGGAGGGCACTTCTGAACATTTACACTGCAACAGTCATCACTCACATACTCTACCAAACGGAGTTGAGTGTTGTCTAATGTTATTTTGCAATGTACTGGAACCGAGGTTTTCACCAGGGACATGAGGACAGGCTGTGTGGTAACACTGAAATAACCAAGGCCCAGATCCCAGCTTTTGGGTGTTTGTCATGCGGCCCTAGCATCAAGTCACTTCACTCTGTATAAAAATAAGCAGAAAATAGATGATCTCTCTAGGTTCCCCCCTGCCCCCCACGAGCTGTCAAATGGCCTTGTTTTATTCTTCTATGTACTCTGAGGGCTCATAATGCAGGGCCGCATCCAGAGTAGGCATTCAGGAAGAATCTGCTCAGTTAAAATGGTTTTGTATTTTAAAATGAAAGTTACCAGAAAAATGGCATTGATTTAAATAATTTAAAATAATAAATTCAAAATAATTTTTTTTCAGGGAAATAAATTTTCCAAAAAGTAAGGTGTGCCTTACTCTCTTGTTTGCCTAAGAGAGTGTTTAGGGAAGAGCTTACGGAACCCCCTTCCTGCACAGGGAAGGGCACGCAGTGAGGGCAAGAGAGCTTCCACGCCCTGCTGGCCTCCTGCCAGTTCTTTGCTGCTCTTCCACAAGGTAAGAAGAAAGGAAGCCTGACATGGACAGAGTGCCAATCCAACTCCCCTAAGCGACCTCAACTCACAGGGCTGCCACTTCCCAGATCACTGGGAGTACTGGATACTTGGCTCTTCCACCAACTTTTAGGTAAGTGAAATTTTATATATGTTCAGGGGCTGCAGCAGCAAACAGCATTAAGATGGCATTCCACATTCTGGCTCAGCAGAGGGGCCCAGGACACAGGCACTGCTCCATCTATACACACGGCTCAAAAGCAGGATATTCCCTGGAGACTGGGTTTGTGACTCAATCTCGGGCCAAGCAGCTGAGTCCAACAACCCTCTCTCACCTGGGCTGCTACTCTCCCAGATCTCGGTGCCCAGGCTATTGCCAGGCACGGTCACATCGCCTTGCTCCAGGCACAAGTTGTTTTGCTTCTTAGCAAATCGAGGAGGAATACGGGAGGAAAGGCCTCGACCTTTGACAGGAACCTAAGGAAGAAAAAAATAAAAGGTGATGTAGTTTAGCTTGAGGCATAAAGAATGACAAATTCTCCCCAGGAGAAGTATCCTGGGCACCAAAATCACACCACCTGAAACTGCTGTAGAGATGCTTCTTGGCTCGCATGGCTCCCAAGACCTCACCACAGGGTGAACTACAATGCCAGCCGGTCCATGCCCAGGAGAGAGCTGATAGGCCGGTGGACTGTGGTCTGTGCAGCAACCAGTCCCAACTCTGCTTTAGTGCAGGGTCTTGAGACGCACGACGCCAGCAAGAGGAATCTCACTCCACTCAGGCCAGAGCAGGGTGTAGGGAGGATGGGCTCAGGCTCAGGAGGCTGATAGTGGACTGAATCCTGGCTTGGCCACATTCTAGCTACTTTCACTCTAGACCCTCTTTGTGGCTCAGTTTATTCCTCCATGCGCTAGTGTCTACTCCCACAGGGCTACAGTGACAGTAGGCACTGGGAGGTAATGCCTGCTTAGTGAATGGTCCTTTTCCCCTCTCTTCTGCCTGGGCTTTGCTCAGGACGCTGTCATCCTTCTGGCACTGGCTCCTTGGGAAGCAGCAGCCCTCCTGCCCCACTCCCTCCTGGCCTCACGCCCCTACCTGTGCGGCTTGCTCCTTCTTTCGTCTCTCCTCCTCCAGCAGGCGGCGCTGCTTCTTGGTCAGGACTTCGATGAAGCCTTCACCCACCACAGAGCCCACCTCACTCTCCTCCCCAGGGCTGGACCCGCAATTGTCAATGACGGCATCTGAACCAAGATTTCACGAGAAGGGATAGTGTTTCCATTCATCAGAAGGCAAGAATAACCCAACTCAATAGGCACCTGATGTCTAAGAACAGACTCAGCACAGAGCACCTAGGAATCACCTGGCTCAACGATGCCAAGGAGCTGCAGCACACTTGCCAGGGTTTACAGCAACCTGGACAAGATTTCTGCACCCTTCTCATGCCCTCTCTGAGCTAATATATTGTCGTCTCAAACCAACGAGGCATCAGCACACTTAAATCTCAGCTCTGCTCCTAACCAGCTGTGTGACTTCGGACAAACCACTGCACCTCTCTGGGCCTCAGGCTTCCTCTCCTTAAAACCGGAAAGCTGTAGGGCTCTATGGGGATTCAACAAGGCTGTGAGCAGCACGAGGGCAGGAATCCTCTCTTCTACTCATCACTGCAGCCCCAGAGCTTAGCCCCGGGCAGCCCCAGCATAGTTCTCAGGAGCTAACACATCCTGTGAAGGGCCTGTCACTCTGCTGTGGCACTCAGCTTTGCCCAGGTCCCCCCCTGCAGGTGAAGGTGAGCAAACTCACTTCCATAGTTCAGGTCAAACTGCTTCATGGTCTCTCCCTGTTCACCTGCCCGCTGAGCAGTCAACTTGGCCTCCTTCTCTGCCTTCTTACTGGAAGCTTCAGGAATGTCAGCACTGGCATGGGCTGCCCGCTCCAGGGTATAGGGTGAGTGGCCGCTCCCACTGCTGCAGGTACCAAGACCTCCAGGCAAGGCCTCGTCTGGGGACCTACAAAGGAAAGAGGATCTTGTCAACTCAGAAACGACCAAAGGCTGGGGAAGGAGAGATAAGAAAACACCTGCATATGCACACAGCCCGCACACAAACACAGCACCCTAATCTAGGTCCATGTCCTTCCACTGACACCAGCAACAGAGCCATCATGTGCTAACCCACATGGAAGACCACCCCAGCAGCACTATCTGAGCAGACCCTACCTGCTTATGGGGAAAGCTGCTCTTTCCAACCCCTGCCCAGGCTCAGCACTTCTGTTCCTCCCCACTGAATGCCAAATGCAGCAGACTGCCAGAGGGTAAGAGGAAGGGGGAATGCATTTAGAACAGAGCTGCTGACCTCTCTGTTCTTACTCAGAACACTGACCACAGGAGGCCCGGGCCTCACCCTGCTGCAAGGCTCTGGGGGCAGAAATCAGCAGAAAATCCAGGGCTCAGTGTCTGGGGCCTGGAGAGCTAGGCTAGACTGGCAGCTGAAAGAATCTGGGTCCTCCGGTGGCTGTTTCTGTGCCTCAATTCTAAGGGGAAAAAGAGGGTAGCCAGAACCTTTCTCAGGATGCTTTGAGGGCAGGGTGGGCCCCAGCACACCCCACTATCTGAGGCACGGACTCTGCACAATCAGTAGACCCTGGCTACACATGCAACCTTTGCCTGATATGGGGCAGCCTGTGGGCAGTGAGCTGACACTGAGCACATACCATGCACCTAAAGCCTATAATTCCAGAGAGGATATGCTCATCGGGCCTCAGGCAGCCTGCTGCCCTTTGCTCCTGCCAGCTCCAGCCACGACAAGGCAGCCACCCCCACAGTGGTATCTTTTCACTGCCAAGAAGCAGAGCCGCTAGGGGAAGGGCCACCTCCATGCCGGCAGAAGGCCAGCAATGCCGCACTGGGACACAGCTCTGGAGCAGGGGAATCTGGTGCACCGAGCAGTGCTCGCCAGGCTCCAATGCCCAGGCAATGCCCTTGTTGCAGTGGCCCCTCAGCAGGGCTCCAAGGATACATGGAGGCTAAACTTTTGGGACAAGAGCTGGGACAGCAGCCACAAGAGGGCCACTGAGGGGTACTCTAGTTTCAGTCTTATCAAGCCACAACACAACCACAGAACAGCACAAGAGAAAACAGACAAGCAATGCAAGAGCGAGTGATGGGGACGCTCCCACGCGGTGGCCAAAGGCGGGTGGGCATGCATGAGATCAGTGCTGCTGCACGACAGGACAACAACAACAACAAGGACCTGAGGGTGCTCTGGCTTTACCTTTTGGCTTTCAAAGGCGTCCCATTCTGTTGGCTCTCATAGCGGGGGGAAGTTTCACCACCACCTGGCCTAACGGGTTTCTCCCCAAACCCTCCCGGCTCCAGCTTTCGGCTCTGTCTGTCAACCAGGGGTCTCTGACTGGAGAAGCTCCTCTTGGCCAGCTCCTTCTTCTCACCCAAACTGGCCCCAGACAGGCCACCATCCACCTGGGAGTCGGGCTCAGCCACATGGCCTTCTCGGCGCTCCCGCCGCTCGCTGAAGTCACTGCTCTCAGAGGCCGTCTCCCACTCCTCGTTGGCATGATCGGATGAGTTCTGGTAGGAAAGCTCGGGGGACCTACGCCCCATGGTGCCGCTCTTGTCCCCAGGACAGAGTTTGGACCTGCCTGGCCACTGACCTGCCAGCAAGTGGGGCTCCTCCTCGGGTCCCCACAGGCCCAAGGATTCACGCTCTTGTCGGAGTCGCCTGAAGCGAGGGGGTTTATCTTGGCGCGGGGGGCGCCTTCTCCTGAAGGGCCTGTTCTCTGCATTTTCAGAATCTGCCACATGGTCATCTTGGAAGAAGGACCTCTTGTCCTCTAAGCGGCTGTCCTCGAAGCCCCTGCCACCAAACGAGTCAGAGTGTCTGTAGGAGTCTGGGATATAGTCTCTGTCCGTGGACCGCCGGGACCCGCATGGGTCAGGGGAGCCGTACTCCTGCCAGGAGCTGCCTGGACTCCTGTTCTGCCAGTGGGGCGACTCTTTGGAGATGAAGGTTCTCCGCCCGTAGCCGCAGTTGCTTAGGCGGGGCGGCAGGGCTCGCCCAAAGGCCCGAGGGCCTCGGCTCTTCCCATCCAGACCGTTGTGGTCCTCAGGGTACACCTTGTTGGACCGCCAGGAATCTTTGAAGTCGCCTTTCTTCGGGGCACTCTCCTCCCTCTCCAGGAGTGAGCCCTCGTTCCCATTCTCGGAGCCCCGCTGCCGACGCCGCTTGGGCAGTTCTTCATACTCTGAGCCCTCACTGTGGGTCTCGCTGGCAATTCTCCGCCGGGGCTTGGGTCTGGGACAGTCGTCCGGCTGGGGGAACTCTCGCAGTCCCCGGGGTCGGCTGCCACGCTGGCTGCTACTGTAGATGCCGCGGGCCCCAAGGACTGCCCCGCCACAGATGCCACTTGCATTTCCGCCAGCCGGCCGACCACGAAAAGTAAACTCTCTGAAACCACGGCCCCGACTCCGGGCCTGCCCTCTGCCCCCAAAGGCCTGTTCCTCATCAATAAAGATCCAGTTGTTTCTCTTTGTTGGGGGAATGGTGCTGGACTCTCGTGACAGTCTGGTCTCCCAGCCCTTGTCAGGCTTCTCGTCCTCTTCAAACTTGTTGGCCTCATGGCCAAAACCAGCATGGGCAGAGCCCTTGTCTTCCATAGCAGGAGGGGAGGAGTTGGCCAGGGTGGGATCATTCTCTTCGTCCTCGTCCTTTTCTGCCTTGCAAATCAGCTCTTTATCCTTGGTCAGGCGGGTGCTCTCCTCCCCTAGCTCCTGCTTAACCTTTTCTAGCTCCTTCTCCTTATCTTCTACCTTGAGGGCTTTTAGGACTGGTTTCTTGATGGGCCCCGACCTCCGCGTCTTGCTCGGCTGCTCCTGCTGCTGGCTGCTGGAGCTCTGTGGCTCATGTGCCCACTCAGTCTCCGAGGGCGGCTGTTTGTTAGGGCTCCCTTCCTTCTCCCAGGAGGAGGCATTAAAGGACGGCTCCTCCTGAGGTGCTTCCTGCTCGACACTGTTGTCTGTGTCGGTGGCCTTTGGCTGGTGGCTCATGTCCCAATTGCCATATTCTGTCTTTTTCTCAGCTGGAACAAAGTCAGGCTCCAATGGGGAACACCTGAGGTTTTGGGTGTGACCCCCAGGAGAACCTGCTTCCTGAACATTTTCTTGGGGTGGAAACAAAAGCTCCTGGCCTATTCTTTGAGAAGAGATACAGCTGTCAAAGTCTGCTTGGGCCTTCTTGTCAAAAGCACTCAAGTACTCCTCCCCTCTCTCCTCAAAGAGATCGCGCTGGGCACTTACGCCCCCTGACCTTCCGGCTGAGGCAGAGTAAGAGCTTTCATTCCTGAAAAGGAACCAGAAAAATCAGTCAATGTGATTGGAGCCTGGTTCCTGGTTTCCATGCTGAACACAGAGTTTAGTTTAAAAAAAAAAAATTTTTTAAAGAAAGAAAAAAACATAAGCACCAACATTTGCTCTATCTGTAAACATGTCTGAGAGCTGCTGGGCCATGGATTGGCCTGTGGCCCCTGGAGTCCGAAAGAGTGAAGAACGTGGCGGCTGCCAGGTGGACTCAGCGTGCCACCCTGGAGACAGAGAGGAGCTGGGCGATCCTCTGGTTCAAAGAACAAGCTGGAGCCTGGGAGTCCGGAAGCGTCTGGGGCACTGGGATGGCAGAACTAGCTTTATTTACTTTTGTAAGAATGAGCCAAGACCTACACTCTTGACCCCACCTGCCCTGCAAGGCCCCCATCCCTTTGCCCTGTGCCTGAGGTTCAGCAACCCCGGGATTTCTCCTCTGCTTCAGTCCCACCATCAGAAAAGAGCCTCTCACACAAAGCATCCAAGCAATCCTCCTCAACTCTCCTTCCCCAGAGGGCACTGGAAGTCCCTTCAAAAGAGCCCATCTGCCCTGCGCAGTGTCTCCTGGGATAGTGCCTCTTCCCACGGCCTTCTCAGGACTTGGAGGTCTTCCTTCAGTGACAGGGCATCTCACCTGACATGCATGTCCACAGCCAAAGTGTCATTTGACTTCAGGTGGGGGAGCGAGTAGCCCTTGCTCTGCAGTGCCATGTAGCCCTCGGGACTCCATACAGGGGCTGGATCGATGGTGGTCACTTTTCTTTCTTGGAGTGGGGGCACGCAGTTCTGGTCCTCAGAGCGACAGCCAGTCCCATTGAGGGAGTCTTGGGGCATCATAGGTTTCATCAATCCTGAGGAAGGCACAAAACTAATCTATGTTAAGTCATTCAGGAAGCCCTGCTGCAATCTCAGGGTGAACCACAGGCTCAAAGCAGACAACAGTCACCCTGACTGTCACATGGACACAGCTCTCCACTCACATAAACATCATGGGGTTCTGAGTCTTTCCTGAGAACATTTGAGGCACACATGTATGCAATGTGACATGTTCAAAGACTGCTAATGTCCAATCTTAGTTCTCGGATTAAGAACCCCTATGTTGAAGGGTACATAAAATTGGCAAATGAAAACCAGAAATATCAAATTAGGGAGTTCAACAATGTTGGCCAGAAGGCTAGAGTGGGCTGGTCAATTTGCAATGAGAATTTCTGTCTAAGAAGAGATGCTTGAAAGGATTTTAGCACAGACACAAAGGAGATGAACTACACACCAGAGAACATAGGTGGAACAATGAGTTAGCATTTACCTCATTCAAAATCCTTGCAAGATTTAGAATGGGCTTTTAGTTTTATTTCCTTTCATTTCTAACCCTGAAATTGACAACGCACCAGATTTTTGTATGGGGAATTGGGTGAGGGGTGTGGGATGGCAGCACGACACAAAAATACTGATAAACTGTTAACTGGCCCGAGTGGGTTAGGATACGGTGACATCTTGGGGCAAATACGTGTAACTAGCTGGGGAAACTGAACGGATCACGCCCCTCCCCGGCCTCTCCATGTCTATCAAACAAGAGTTGGTGCAGATGATACTAAAGGTCTGCAGGAAGAAAAAGTTCTGATTTTTCAAATACTATACTCTCACTCTCTTCACAAAGCTTGTAAGCCAAAAACTTTGTTGTGTACATCTTTCTTTCTGAAATGGTGCTCCCTGAAACATCTCTTCTTTAAATTTAATTAGACAAATTATACTCAAACTAGTAGATGCCCTGGGAAGGCAATCAACATTAGGGCTAATAAAAAGCTTGAATAGTATAAAAGGGCTGGAGGAGGTATTGTAGAACCTTTCTAGCACTTATGAGAGGTAAATTAACACCAATTGCTAAACATAGAAACTGGATAAATTTCAATATTCATTTAGAAATTAATTTTATGATGCTGTCCTAAGTATTAAAATACAGGTTATACTTAAATCATTCAAAGTTTGGCATGTTCACACATGTGCACAAAGTATTTGATAGATATTTACACACTGGGAGACACAATTATGGTCTGACTTTGGAGTTTTGGCAGATCTGGGTTCAAATTCTGGCAAGTTTCCCTACTAGCTTTTTTTGGGTGCGTGTGATCCGAACCCTCGGGCGGGAGCGCCGCCGCGCTTCCCAAGCGGCGCACTATCCAGTGCGCCACCGGGCCGGCCCGTTGTGTACATCTTTTAAGCTGAGATAGTCTGGCTAGGAAAATGGTTCTACACCAGGCCAGTGGCTTTATGCCTTACTGTAGCTGTAGAATGCTTTGTTCAGAAGCTACTGACACACAACTACATACGAAGTTAGTCTGACTCAGGTGGTGGCCGGGATCCCTGAGAACTCTAAAATCACACGCCGTTTATTAAGCGTTTATTATGAGACACGTACAGGGCCTTGTTTCTGGCAATATGACAGTCCTTATTATCGGACTGCCACAAACCCTCCTGCCACAAACACTTTTTGCCAAGAAAATGCTGGACAGAATACATCAAGCATTTTTCTTGCAGAGCTGTGTTCACAAGAAAATGGGAAATCCCCTGGGAGCTGAAAAGCACAGCGACAGGTCTGTATGCTGGTCTCCCTGGAGGAGAGCAAGGGCAGCACATTTGTTAGTAGTAGAAACCTGTGGACTTGGTCTTAACATCCTCTCAGGACAGGGGATGAGGCCTTTCTGTACAAGGCAGGGAGCTGTAACTGAGACGCTGCTTAATATAAAGACCCTCGGAGGGCTACACCCTCCAAAGGCACATTAGAGAATTATGTGCTTTTTTTTTTTTTTGTCTTTTTGTCTTTTTTCGTGCCCGGCAACAGATGGCAACCCTCAGTGTCGCGCCCGCACCGGACCGGGACCGGCAACGGGATCGCAACCCTCAGTGTTGCCCCCGCTCCTCGCTCAGCCAGTGAGCGGCCGGTCTGTATGTGGAATCCGAACCCTCGGCGGGAGCGCCGCCGCACTTCCCAAGCGGCGCACTGTAGCAGTGCGCCACCGGGCCGGCCCAAAATATGTGCTCTTTAGTACAAGGGAACTGACTAGGAAGTTTGTCTGTCTTGGCCTGCCCAGGATGGTGAAGAAAGAGTTCCTTTCTAGAAATTCAAAACCACATGCTTGCTTTCACAGGGGCTTGGGAGAGGGGAGAGTTCAGATTTCTACTTCCCAGAATGGTCCAGAAACCTCCCATTTAACATAAAAGATGGGTCTAGGCTGGCAGACGAAAATATAAAACCACGCTGCAGGGACAGACCTTTTTCAACTCAAACCATACTGGATCTCCACAGATAAAACTCCATTGAAACTGAACTCATAATTCAAAATTCCAGAAATGGAGAGAAATCCACCATGAGTTCATGATGAGTCTACAGGATTAGATACCTCCCTGAACTTCAGATAACAGAACAATCTGTTAAACACTAGAAGATTAAGTTTAAAATTATTAAAAGTATAAAACAACAAATTAAAAATTTGAGGAAGATAGAAAATAAAAAACCAGATTTGACAAATTCTAGTAATAAAAATATGTAGTCACTGAAATTAAAAACCCACTAGACAGTATAAAAGCAGATGAGATACAGAGAGAAAGAAGTAAACGGGAAAATAGTTCTGAGGCAATTCACCAGAAGGCAACAGAGAGATAACCTCTTTTCATGTTTTCTGTCAATTAAGATACTTGAAGACAGAATGAGAAGGTAAACAATAAACCTAGTGAAAGTCCTAGAAAGAAAGGATAAAAAAAAAAAAAGGGAAGAGTTACTATTTGATGTATAGTCAGAAGAGAATTATCCAGAAGTGATGAAAGATACACATCCTTAGATTCAAGCACAAGGAGTTCTAAGTACGATAAAATACAAATATAGACATAACATATTGAGACAGAACTATAGAACACTGAGAAGATTTTAAAATCAGCCAGAGAAAACAGAGATTACCCAGAAATGAATCACACTTTTAACAGCACTAGGATCAAGAAGAAAATGGAATGCTATCGTCACAGTACTGCAAGAAAATAACTGCCAATCTAGAATTCTATACCCAGCTACACTATCATTCAAAATGGTGAAATACTTTTTAGACAAAGATAATCTGCTGTCAAAAAAATTTCCTGAAGAACAGAAGAATGTACCTCATGAAGAATTAACAGAACCCAAATGGAAGAAACAGGATAAAAGAAGGGAAAATCAGCAAAGAAACTGGTAAACACACAGGCAAATCTTAACAAGCACAGACTGACTAAAACAACAAAAATAATAATCACCTATTTGGTGGGCATAAAAACAAGGAAGAACTGAAATTATAGGCAAAAATCACAAAGTAAGACTGATGGAGGAGGTAACCAGAGTTCAAATGAAGGGAAAAGGTACTGATTAGCCTTTGCTAAATCAAGGGTGCATGTTAGATTTTTAATGCAACCACTAACATACAGAAATAAAATGAAGAAGAGGGAAACAGAACCAAAAAGAACAGGAAAATTTAACCCAAGAAAAGGTAGGAAAGAAAAACAAAAGCATAAAAAAAGAGAGATAAACAGAATACATAAAATAGGATAACTCTAAATATAAGAATCCCAATAAGTCTAAAAGGACTAGCTCTGGCAATTAAAACTCAGTGATATTCAGAGTGGGGAAAACCATACACGTCTTACAGATACAACAATACACTCCAAAAAAATAACGGGCTCAGAGAAAATAACAGTAAAAGGCTGAAACAAAAGATATCAGATAATACTAATCAAAAGAAAACTGGAATAATTATAGTACTATCAGATAAGGTAGTTTGTAAGGACAAAAAGTATTATTAATGATAGCAAGGGTACTACATAATGACAGAAAGAACAAGATGTAGTAATTCCACACCTGTATGCCTTCAAATATATAAAGCAAAAATTGATGGCTTACAAGGAAGATATGACAAATCTACAATCACAGTGGGAGATTTTAACACAGTAATTAACCAAGTGGATAAAAAATCATAATAATATAGATATTTGCATAACACAATTAGCAAGCTCAATTTAATGGTCTACATCCTTTTCGGGCAAACATAGAATGTTTAAAAAGAGAAGACCATGTAATAGCCTACAAAGCCAATCTCAACAAATGTCAAGCAATCTAGATTGAGAGTTGGTCAGCAAACTAAGGCCCTAGGACAAAATGTGGCCTGTCGCTTATTTCTGTAAATAAAGTTTTACAGGAAAACCACCATGTTCATTCATTTACTACTGTCCCTAGCTCTTTTTGTCCTACAACAGCAAAACATAGTAGTTGATCAAAGCCTAAAATACTTATTATCAGGGGCCGGCCCTGTGGCTCACTCGGGAGAGTGTGGCGCGGGTTCGGATCCTATATAGGGATGGCCGGTTAGCTCACTGGCTGAGCATGGTGCGGACAACACCAAGCGAAGGGTTACGATCCCCTTACCGGTCATAAATAAATAAATAAATAAATAAATAAATAAATAAATTATAGGGATGGCCGGTTAGCTCACTGGCTGAGCATGGTGCGGACAACACCAAGCGAAGGGTTATGATCCCCTTACCGGTCATAAATAAATAAATAAATAAATAAATAAATAAATAAATAAATTACTTACTATCTGTCCTATTTTACAAAAAAAGTTTGCTCACCCCGGTCTATATTGTACAGACCATATTATCTGACTGCAAAGCAGCTACATGAGAAATTAACACCATAAAAATAATCTTAATCTTAAAAGTCAGAAATTAATGAAGAAAGCATCCAACACTATTAGTTAGAACAAGAACAGAATTATTTCAAATGAAATAGAAAAAAATGAGGTGAAAAAAATGAAACTAATTAAATAAAATCCAAATAAATAGGACAGAGGGATAAAGAAACCTCAAAACTGATTTTAAAAAGCCATTAGGCAAACACTGGGAAAGAATAATCGAGGGAAAAAAAAGAGGAGAGAAGGCACAAAGAATGTTAAGAATGGAAGGAGGGACAAAATGACACAGCAGAAATCTAAAAATTAATTAATGCAATTTATAATGCATGATCTTAATGAGTCTTCCCAAAAATTTTTTATGACAGGAACTATTATTGTACCTTCACTTAGCCAATGAGGAAGTGAAAATCCAGACCAGTCATATGATTTGACAAAAGAGGCCAGACTGGAATGCGGGGGCCTGTCTAACTCTTGAGGTGACATGCACAGCCACCATGCTATCCTGGGCTCTGCAGGCATATACCCACCAGACCACCACTCTTACCTGAAGGATGGAGGGCGGAGGGGTAGAAGTCCACGGGGGTCCGAGCGGGTGTGATTCGTGGGTCCATGTAGGAAGGCATCATCATCCACCTGGGATCGAAGCCGAGCATCTGGGGATGGTGCGGGTAGAAGGTGCGCTGCGGGTGGGATGGTGGGGGGTACACTGGCTGCCAGTGCTGCATCTTGTACAGCTGCTCCTAACCAGGCAGAGAGACCTGGTTAGACAGGCACAGCGGGGCAGAGACGCCACCCACTTACACACTCGTACCACTTTCCAGCAGAAAGCCCACCCGGAACAGAACACCAAGGAGGGAAGGAATGGCAGCAGCTCAAAGGGGAGGCCCGGTGTATGGCAGCTTTCGGGCTGGTCCAAGGATACATGAACAGTTATGCCATTATCACAGCAGGGGCCAACACGCACCTGTGCTACTCAAGACAGGCTAGGTTTTCATTTAGATCAGACACTCCCTTAGCACTGACCAACTGTACAGTATGCCTCCCAAGGAATCTGTGGACGCCGACCACTTTTCTCCTTCTCTATAGCCACCACCTGAGGATGGTCACCATCCTTTCCCTCCTCCCTCCTGTCCTTTTAAATACATTCTCTGCACTCAACCGGAGTGATCTCCACACACTCCTCATTAGTTTGGCCCCGAGCTTCAGAAGAGCTCTTCAAAACAACGGTGGTTCTCCACTGTCCTCTGCCTAACAGTCTGAATCCCACACTGCTACAGGTGACCTACAGGGTCCTGCAGGATCCTGCCCAATCTGCCTCTCCAGCTTCAACTACTCTCTGCTCCACATATGCCCACAGATGCCCTCTACTCTCTGCTCCACATATCCCTGCCTGCCCATTTCAGGCCATGGTAACTGGGTCCTCTGGTGAGCTCCTCTTCCCTCCATCCCTAAACCAACGTTTCTAGCTTAAAAAACACTTCCTCTGGGGCCGGCCCAGTGGCGCACTGCTACAGTGCGCCGCTTGGGAGTGCGGTGGCGCTTCCGCTGAGGGTTCAGGTCCCACGTGCAGACCGGTTCCCGCTCACTGGCTGAGCGAGGTGTGGGTGCAGCACCGAGGGTTGCGATCCCGTTGCCGGTCCCGGTCCGGTGCGGGCGCGACACTGAGGGTTGCGATCCGTTGCCGGACATGAAAAAAGACAAAAAGGAAAAAAAAAAAAAACACTTCCTCTGGGGAGCTAGTCATACCCCCTACAAGAGACCAGGTCTCTGTTCTCTGTTCTCATAGAACTGCTAGTTCCCCTCTGTAGCAATGAACAGTCTGTTGCTGGTCTCCCTCGGTGAATCACAAGAGTCTGTGCACACCTAGTTCACAGTGATCTTCTAGCCCCCAGCACCAAACCTGGTACACAGAACACCTGCTGCACGAACGGATGAACATAAGCATCAATGAAATATTCACAACAAAGGCCTTGACTACAGTGGGTTCATTTCAGACCCTGCTCCATCCCATTGGTGACATCTGGTGCTGACTTCATAAGTGTTTCTGACCAGCGTTCCTCCCACAGGACTCAAGTGCTGAGTCAGGTTCTGAGGACAACCTTCCCAAGAAGCCTCCCGCACACACACTTCCCTTCTGCAAATGAAAAGGCTGTCCAGGCAGCCTGGCAGTCGCAGCTCCTCCTGGGCTGGATTCCTGGACAGTTCCAGTGGCCTTCATAGTACCTTCAGGAGCACTCAGTATGTAGCACTCATCAACCGACAGATGAGTCATTCACATCCCCAGCCCACACAGAGGCTGCTAGTCCCCAGCCCACAGCTCCTCCTCCTGTCCAGAGCCTGAGTCCCCAGGGAATTTGACCAGACAAGGTGCCCTGGTGCCTCCAGGCTTCTTTCCTATTCTTCAGGAGGAATCACTGCCTCCCCTGACCCCCACGAGGACTTAGCCTGAGCAACTGTTACTGCTGTATGTGGCCCCAGTAACTCCCCAATCAGTAATTCTACCTGGCCCATGAGGAACTGTGTAGCACTCACTTACACAGCAATGCTATAAAAGCACACGTAATGGAGCCCCTGGAATGTTTCGTAGGAGCCCAAAGAAGAGGAGGCTGGGGTAAAAGTTTTCAAGGAAATTAAACAAGATATTGAGAAAAAGCTTAAGACCATGGCTTGTTTCTGCAGGGCAGTTAATATTAATAACTTACTATACTCCTATTGCTGGGCATGCACTCAGTAATGTCTGTGTGTCATCTTGGGTTCCCACCAAAATGCACTACTCTTCAGTGCTGCCAACTCTGCTCCTTCGTCATCACTCTAAGCAGCAGAACAATGGCTGACACATGCGTCAAGCTGGGTGAGATTACCAGGACTATATATGACTGAGATTATCATAGCCACTGTCCACATGACTTTTGTTGGGGCAAAAAGTAGGTCCCTTTTAAGGTTTGTAAAATGCCAGTGATGATGATACAGATGAACTGGTTTACAAGTATTGCCACATAAAGCCTTCCCTGCTTGCTGAGAGACGGTTGCTCTTCCTATCTTCCCGGTTCACACTTGAAGAAACACAGGCTTGAGGAGCACAGCTGACCTATTCAAGGCCACACACGAATAGTAAAGTAGCACCATTATGATGGGAACCTACAGCTGTCCGACTTGACACCTACAAACCTACATCCTTAACCCAAAGCGGACATGTCTCTTGCTTACAGCTTACGGGCCTTCCTTACACCTTGAGAGGACCCCAGGGCAGGGTCCACTATGGTCTAAAAAATGTCCAAGGCATGCTGCTCTGAAATGAAAAACCACTCTTCCAGCTGAACTAGAGCTCAGTGCACACACCACCAAGTCTTTTCCTTACCAGTATTAGAAAACAATATCAATAAACCACAACCACAGAGGCCCTCTATCACCAGGAGAAATAAATTAATGGCCATGCTGAACTGCCAAGGTCATAAGTTTGAGGTGCAATTCCTGACATCCCTGCTGGTGACTGGGACACATAAGCGTGTTTTGCTTTGTTTTGTTTTAGCCAGAGGGGGCAGGGAGCAGGGGGCAGGGGAGAGAGAACATTTGCTCAGGAGTCAGGGCTGTTCCTAATAACCTGCTGAATGTCTTATCTGTTTACCTGCTGTTGCTGCTGCTGCTGCTGCTGCTGCTGGCGCTGGAATCGGGGAGGGAGTGACTTCTGATACTTGCTGAACTCCTGCGCAGGGGACCCAGCCTCCCTGGCCTCTTCTTCACTGCTGCTGCTGCTGCTCGGAGCCACAGCTGGGGAAGCTGTGGGTGCCTCTTCTGAGAACGTGGTGGGGGCTTCCTGGACAGGGAATTCTGGGGAGCCTAGAGAACAAGCAAGCAGAGAAACACCACAGTGAGCTCCCAGAAGCTGAGCTGGCCAAGTACTTAACAGCAAGGGCTTCCTCTTGCTGGCACTTCCATTCCACAGCTACTTCTTCACATCCATGACCGCTGGCACTGTGTCACAGGATCCACTTGCAAGCTCACAGATTCCCACACAACGCCACGAGGAGGCTTTGCCTACCATCACTTCAGAGATGAGAAAACTAAGGGATGAGAGATTAGGTGAACTGCCCGAGGTCACAGTCAGGGGCAGGGCTTGGATCTGATTCCTGGTGGAACAGGTTTTATTAAAAAGGACTCTGGTAACTCAGAAAGCAGCTTCAAACTCAGTGATGGCTCACCCACCCATCATCCGAACAGTATGAATTCAATGCACCAAAGGTTCTGTGACCTGGGCATGTGTTTAGCCTCTTGTTCCCAATGCTTCATCTGTAAACAGGATAACAGCAGTGCCCACCCCACATGGCTTGTGTGATAAGCAGATGACATAATCCACGTCATGTACTTAAGACAGTTCCTGTCAAGTAGAAGAAGCTCCACGCAATCCCCCATTGCCCCACCTCGTGAGTACCCTGAGACCGGCACACGCAATCCCCCACCGCCTCACCTCGTGAGTACTGTGAGACCGGCACGGTCTTCACTCAGACCTTCACTGTGGTCCTTGATGATCTGATCAGTGCACTTCTGGCCAATCAGACCCCCACCTAAGACATTTTCAGGGACTGAACTAACACTGGGCCCTTATCTCCTAACAAGAGTTGATTTGAGTTGACTCAAGAAAATTACAATGAATATAGCTGATCATATCCTTTAAAAAGCTGTAACAGACACTCTCCAATACACAGCACTGTCCAGTGTGTCTTTCACAGCCAGGTGTCCCACTTCTTCTAGAACTCATGCTAGGAAAAATGTATTACAATAAGCAGGCAGGCTTCTTTTCATTCCACATAAAAGGATCCTGTGCTTTTATTAGAGTCCTCTAGCATGTGTATCTTTGGTTGAGCAGTGGTAGTGATGATAATAGTGATAATGGTGATGATGACAAAAATCAGTATGATCAGCAAGCACATGCATGTTTTCTATATGCTAGAAACTGTGTAAAGTGCTTTATGTACATCTCATGTGGTCCCGCAGCATGCTGACAGGCACATACTATTCATCCCATTTTACAGAAGAAGAAAAAGGCTCCACAGACATAAGGTGCTCATCAGCTAGTTCAAGAAGTTGAAATAGAATCAGGCTAACACTCTGTTTTTTTGTTGGCTGGCTGATTTGGGGATCCAAACCCATGACCTTGACATTTCAAGGCTATGCTCTAAACCCAGAGAGCTAACTGGCCAGACCTAAACTCTTAACAACTGATTCTCCCCAACATGACCAAGTATTCAGCCACCGGTTCTGCTAAGAAGTAAGGGAGGTGAAATAAACGGATGACAAAAGCCCAGGGCTTCCAGTTGGTGGGATGAGGGCCCACCTCTTACCTTTGCGGGCAGCAGGGCCGTTCTCCTGTGGGGAGGCCTTCTCAGTGCCTGGAGACCGGGGGACTTCCTTCTCCACCTGCTTCTGGGCCTCGCTCGCCTTCTGGGCCTGCTTACACTTTTGGTCCAGCTGTTTGAGTTTAGCTGCACAGGCAGCCAGCCTCTCTTCCCGGGCTCGGCGCTCCTCCTCTTCCCGGCGCTTTCGGGCTCGTTCCACGGCCTCGGACATCTCTGACTGGATGAACTTCTGCCTCGGGGGTGGCTTATCCTCCTTGTCCTCAATAGACTGTTGCCGGAAAACACTGCTGCCTGAAGGCTTCTGCCAAGAGAACAAAGTCTCTGATGAAATGGTGGGTCACAAACCAGGAGATGGGGGCCACTCTCCTTCAGGGATCAGTTCTCCTTCCCAAGATCCTCAAGTATCTTCAGAGGTAGCAGTTATGAGATGGGCAGATCTGGGTTTTAATCCTGCCCTGTCCTTTACTATATTTGGAATGATATTTGGACAAGTGCCAGCATTCTATACCTTACTTCCTCATTTGTAAAACAGGGATAATAAAGGAAGTCCTTGGGATTGTGAAGGTGAAAGGAAATACTGTTTGCAAAGCACTCAACACTGTGACTACCATAGCAAACAGTAAATGAAGGCTCTCACCACTGCTAACACGCATGCACACAGGATCAGGGCCTCCATGGCTGACGAACAGGAGCAGGAAACCACACACTCATCATTCCTTAGTCACATGCCCTAGACATAAAAGCTCTACTCCTCCCTCCAGGAAAATGCATAAACCCCTGTGAATAAAGAGCCATGAGAAAATGAAATTCACTATCAGACATACACCTTCAAAGTGACCTTTATGTAAAAACAAAAAAGCATGTCTAAAAAACGTCTCTTTTAGATATTTTACCTATTTCTGAGTCTCTTGCTGGTTGCCAGTTACTGGACAACCAGGGTACTGAAGATGCAGTATGAAAAACTCTCAATCTGGGGAAGATTTCTTGCTAGTCTGCAGGGAGTGAAGCTGCACGCAGAACACACAACAGCACAAATGGTGGGCAAGCTAACTGAACCCCAGCTGCTGAAACTCCAGTGAGATTGGACTATTTGAAAAAAAAAAGACTTCCTGTTTTGAATGGCAGTTACACAGGTGTACAGAATTGTCAAAAATCATCAAACAAAAAAACCAACATCTATGACTTTTCTTGTAGGTTAATTATATCTCAGTACAAGAAATGTGCAACATTCACTCCAGTGTCACAACAACAAGGTCAAGGTTTCGGATCCTTGTATGGGCCAGCCACCAAAAAAAAAAAAAAAGAAAGGAAGAAAGAAAGAAAGAAATAGCTGACACAAAGGGTCTCTGTATATTGTCAAGACTTCTGACGTGTCCTTTTACACTGCCCTAAGATTAGCTATCATTTTATAGACTAAACGTTCTGTAAAATATATGAATTGAGACAATCTTTTCAGAAATTTTATCAGAAGACTCTTCGGATGCATAAGTTTATTATATAGATTTCAAAATCGTTGACTTTACTCAGTTAATTTACAGTGCTGTCGCAAGTAGGTTAAAGTGAAGCCTTCTGAATACTGAACACCCCCAATACATGAATGAGAATTTAGAGTAATTGCAGAATAAGTTCCAGAAGGAGTGGCACTGTGTCTATTTTGTTTCACTTTTTTGTCTCCTGTACCCAGCACAGTGCTTGGCACATAAAAAATACTCAAAAATAAGAGTAAAGACAAAAGGGCATTTTCATTTTACAAAAAGATGGGAAATAAGAGACCTTTAAATAGCAAAGTACACTGAAAATGGCAAGATCACCTAATGTATTAAAAATAATGCCTTTCTCTTTCCAAACTCTTCCCCTCCTGAAGAATTCAGTCCGAAAGTCATTAGGTGTGGTGAAGCAAAGTAAGCATCTGGTGCCCTGGCATGGAGGCATGACGGCTCAGTGTATGGGTGGTCAGAGCCCAGGCAGGGTGAGGAGGACATTCGTAAGGAGAGATGTCCCAAAAGGGAAATTCAGGGCATCCTGGGGCAGAGGTGATGATGCCTGAGGGATGAGATGAGAAGGAGAGAGGTGCAAGGGAGAGAGGGTGGTGGCAGAAACAGGGGACTGATCACATATAAAGGGATTGACCAAATAAGCTGAGCCATATTACTCAAGGGTCAATTGTACATATACACACATTTCCTACCTCTGTCCACTGAGAAGGCCCAGGAGGAGTGATACTCCCACAGCACACCTGGGGCTCAGATACTGATACTATCCTTCACTAAAAGGAACCAGGGACTTCTTAGAGAAAGGTCTGTTCCAGACTGGGCAGGAACAGTTAATCCAGCCAGACACAAAACCCTCAAGGGCCATTAGGTAGTAAGGGCTTAAGTTTGGAAAAGGTTCTTCTGTCAGAAAGCAAGGAAGTGTTCAAAAAAGGATGGAGACAGACAAAAAGGACACATAACACCAGCTTGAAGAGGCTCTCAATAGCCAAATCAAAGATAATTTGAGCTCCAAACCAGATAATGAGATTAACAGATTATAACCCATTCATATAAATAAATGAGTAAATTGAAGTTTGATAAGAAATGGGATATTCATAGTCTCAAAGTTTTTCGCTATAAAATTCTTATCAATTACAAACGGGGAAAAGAGTAATTTTATAGCAAGAATCCTGGCAGGCACCATGTTAATCAAGAGATCAAAGTGCATATTGCCAGAGTGGGTCACCTGGCAGGAGGCAGTGAGAAGAGTCACTGTCAGGTCTCAAAGATGCCTGCCAAGGACAGAAGACTTCCATGTAACCATGAGGAAGCACCAGACAAACCTAATTTGAGGGTGTTCCACCGGCTCATAATCTTCAAAAGTGTCAAAGTCAAGAAAGTTAAGGAAAGGCTGAGGAACTGGTTCAGACTGAAAGTTACCCAAGAGACATGACAGCTAAAGGCAACGTGCTACTCTAAAATAGATTCTTTTGTATAAAGGACATTAATGGGACAACTGGTAAAAGCTGACCAGGGTCCAAGGATTAGACAGCAGTGATGAAATAGACACCAACGTGCTCTGTGGTGAGAGGACCTGATCTGGCTGGCAACTTATTCTTCAATCAGTTCAGAAAAAAAATCTTCTGTATTGTACTTCCAAGTTTTCTATAATTTTGTGTCTGTCACAAAATTTGGACTTTTCAGAAACCCAGCCACTGGACTCAGTAATGTACAAATGCATAGAATAGCCAACTAGAGAACATTTTGCAGTCTTTGTCTTGGGACTCTGGTCAAAAGAACTTGAAGAGTGTGTGCGTGCGCGTGTGCATGTGTGCATCCCAGCTAATCGGCCAGACACAAAACCCTCAGGGCCACAGTACCTGGTAGTCAGGGCCTGATGCCCAGCTGTGGAGCTTCCTGGAAGGTGGCTGGGGCTCCGGCACCTTTCGGACGACACGGGACACACCCACTGCTTCACCCCAGTCCTTTCCTTCCTCCTGGGTGCGCCTGACATCCGCACTGTCCACAGAGCTCATTGACAGCTGCCGCTGCCTCCTAGGGTCCCAGTTGTTCCTAGGACAAACCGCAGTCAGTGTTAAGTTTTCCCAGTCAATCCAAGCATGTCTAATATCACTAGCCCTCAGGAGTTCAAAAGTCAGCTGTCCATATACCAATTTCCTTCATCAGAATAGAACCCCCTCTCCTGCCCCTTACGTGTGAACTCAAAAATTCAGCACCAACATTTTTCACATCATGCTTATACACATCAACTAAGAGAGACAAGGAACTAAGTGTCCTACTGCTCCAGTAATTCAGTAAGACTTCATGTCTCTGCCTTTGATTTAAATTCTTGATCATACCTCCTCCCAAGCTTAGTGCTCCAAGAACTGACCCATAGATATTCCCAAGTGCATCCGATGCTTCGGTTGAAACCAAACCACATGAAAATGAATTACAGAAGCTTCGACTAGTTCATTTTTTGAGTATCAGCCAGCTCCTTCCCGAAGATGGAGCTTTGAAGTGAAAGATGAAACAACAAAGAAAAAGACTTGCAGACTAAACCACATAAACATTCAATTACTGACAAGAAAATAGACAAGAAGAAAAATATTTGCAACATAAAGCATTACTATCTAAACAATATAAAACATTAATCACATTTTGAAGGCAAGCAGAGTGATAAATGTGCAAAGGAAAAAGGCAATTCCACAAAGGAAACAAAGGAAAGCATTCGCACTTGTTAGTACTCAAAAAATGCAAATGACAGCAACCACAGGTGTTATTTAAAAAGTACGAGCCAATGCTACTGAAATTATGTTAAAACTAGAGGGACAAGAGTACAATACAGTATTTTCCAAAGCTCACTGAGTAAAACTAGTCCAATAATGTGATCCAAAAAAAGTGAGAAAAGATTAAAGTGGTCAAGTAAATGTGAGAAATCTGGCATATGCCCTGCTTCTCCCACCCCCACCCCGACCCCCACCCCCACCATACTTTAACACATTCAAGGATCTGAGAGACGTTGGAGTAGAGAAGCTGAACCCAGGGTAGCTTCCCAAACTTGCTTGGCCAAAGAAGACTTTCTGGGCATGACACCCACAAACAATCTGCGGAAGAAGTAGTCTACATAACATGCACAGGGAGATAGTGGCCCTGTGGTTAAGAGGTCCTAAGCATAGGGGTCAGACGGTCAGCTGTCACCCCATATCTGCAAAATGGAAACATTTACCCCCAGAGGTTGCTGTAGCAATGAGGAGGTGCCCTTGGCAGAGACTAGCACACAGCAGCACCAATGAACATGAATGTGTTTATGCACTGCTGCAGCAGGTGAGGCTGTAGCAGAGCTAGGAGCGGGGTGTTGGGGGGGGAGCCTTACCACTTCGGCCTGCCATCCTTCACCACTTCTTCCTCCTCTTCGTCATCACTGAACTTCAATTTCTCAGAATAGTCCACTTCTTCATGGAGGCCTACGACAGCAGGAGGGCCCAGGAAGAATGAAAAAAAAAACGAGAATGTCAATGGTGCTCAGGGTACCACGGGAGAGCTTCCTTCAGTCAGGGATTATGCCACCCCAAGTGAGGAGCTGGGTCAAGCCACCCAGCTGCCTCCAGCAGAACAAGCACAGCTGGAACAGGGAAGGACAGTTCTGCTTCTGCCAAGAGCTAAGTAGCCTGGCTGGACTAACCTTCCCATAGATAACAATTTTTATATCTGGATATTTTTAAAATTTATATCAAGGCACAGGAGAGTGAGCAAAGCAGGGAGAAACCAGACAGAAGTGTACCCTCTCAATACAGAAATGTTATCGGTGAGATTGGTGAGTTACTGTTTTGTCCAGGGCACTCCCCAACCCCCAAGAAGCTCAGGTGACAGAAAAGTGTCCATCAGCTGATGAGTGGGTAAAAAAAAAACGTGGTAGATCCATACAATGGAATATTATTTGGCAATAAAAAAGAATGAATCCAAATCCATGCTACCACATGATTAACCTTGAAAGCATTGTGCTAAGTGAAAGATGCCAAAAACGAAAGGCCACATATTGTATGATTACATTTACATGAAGTGCCCAGAATATACAAATCCATAGAGACAGAAAGTAGATTTGTGGTTGCCAAAGGATTTTGGGGGGAAAGTATGATGAAATTGGGAGTGTCTGCTAGCAAGTAAGAGGTTTCTTTTTGGGGTGATGCAAATGTTTTGTAATTGTATAGTGGTGATGGTTGCACAACCTTGTGAATATACTAAAAACCACTGCATTGTAGACTTTAAAAGGCTGAATTTTATGTTACATGAAAATCTGTTACATGAATCACATCTTAAAAAAAAGAAAAAGTAACAACAAAAACCCAATCCAACTAAAAAGCAGTTGCAACTGATGAAAAAGCAAGTAGCAACTATGTGCTTTCTGCTAACCACTTTAAACACAAACAAACTGGTTGAAAGGAAAAGAATTGAAAACGACATACCATGAAAACAACAAATAACTCTAGTAATGGTATTAACACAGGATAAAGTAGACTGCAAGACAAGAAACATTAATAGAAATAAAGGAGATATGAAAATACAAAAGGTCAAAATACCATAGAGACATAAAAGCTATAAATGTGTGTATGCCTATCAACAGCTTCCAAATAAATGAAACTAAAAGAACTAAAGGGAGAAAGAGATAAATCCAAAATTAGAGTGGAGAGTTTAACATCTTACTATCAGTATTTGATAGAACCAGACAAAAATATCAGTAAATATACAATAAGTCCTGAATGACACTATAAACCACCTTGACTGAATTGATATTTACAGAACATGATATCCAACCCTGTAGAATACACATTCTTTTCAAGTGCACTTGGAATACTCTCCAAGAGAGAGCATATCCTGTCATAAAGATCATCTTCATTAGATACAGAAAATGATACAATAGAGAAAAGTAAGAAAGCCAAAAACTGCTTCGATGTAAATATTAATAAACTTAATAATTCCTTGATAGAACTGAACAAGAGAGAAGACATAAATTACCAGAAATGAAAGAGGGTACATCACCACAGAACCTACAGACATCAAAAAGATATAGACATATAACAAGAAGGTTATGCCAATAAACTCAACAACTCAAAAGAAATGAACTAGTTCCTTGAAAAACACAACTTACCACAAAAAAAGACACAAAATGAGAGAGAAAATCTGAGCAGCCCCATAACTAATCAAAAAAATTAAATTATTGAAGGCCGGCCCATGGCTCACTTGGGAGAGTGCGGTGCTGATAACACCAAGGCCATGGGTTTGGATCCCATACAGGGATGGCTGGTTAGCTCACTGGCTGAGCATGGTGCTGACAACACCAAGTCAAGGGTTAAGATCCTCTTACCGGTCATTTAAAAAAAAGAAAAGAAAAATTAAATTATTGAAAATATTTCCACAAAGAAAACTACAGGGCCAAATTGTTTCACTGGTGAATTTTATCAAATGTTTAAGAAAGAAATAATACCAATTTTATAAAAACTATTTAGGAAAGTAGAGAAGAAAGGAATACTTTCCAACTCATTTTATGAGCCCAGCAAAACCTGACACTAAAACCCAACAAAATATTAAAAGAAAATTATAGACCAACTTCCCTCAATAGACGCAAAGTTGGTTAAGCATTTAAAAAAAAAAAAAAATCAATGCAATCTACCATATTATCAAAATAAAGGAGAAAAATCATATAATCACAGATGCAGGAAAAGCATTTAACAAAATTCCCATTCATGATTTAAAAAACAAAAAACTAAAACACACAGCAAACTAGAAATAGAAGGGAACCTCTGCAACCTGTAAAGAGGATCAACGAAAAACCTTCAGCTAACATCATATTTAATGGTGAAACACTAAACATTTTCTTCCTATGACCAGGAACTAAGAATTCAATATTGTACTGGAAATACCACAGTGCAATAACACAAGAAATAAAAGGCACATAAGCTGAAAAAGATGTAAAACTGTTCTTAATTTATAGGCAACATGATGTTTTACATAGAAAACTCTAAATCAACAAAAACTAATAAAACTAACAAGTGTGTTCAGCAAAGTGTCCAATACACAAAAATCAATTGTATTTCTACATAATGACAACAAACACCTGAAAACTGAAATTATATATTTAAAAAATCAATGCCATTATAATAGTATCAAAAACATAAAATACTTGGGAATATATTTAACAAAAGACATTCAGGACCTTTACACTGAAAACTATAAAACACTGCTGAGAGAAAGAAAAGACCTAGTGAAGACATTCACCAGGTTCCTGGACCTGAAGATTCAAAATTAAGATGTCACTTATCCTGATACAGATTCAACACAATCCTAACCAAAATGTCTGCAGGCTCTTTGCAAATACTGACCGGTTGATTTTTCCATTTATATGGAAATGCAAAGAACTCAGATTAGACAAACAATCTTGAAAAAGAACAAAGTTGGAAAACTTACATAACTTGAATTTAAGATTTACTATAAAGCTACAGTGTGGTATTGCCATACAAATGAACAAATACATCAACGGAACAGTGTCGAGAAATAGACCAACACTTATATAGTCAACTGATTTTTAGCAAAGGTGCCAAAGTAACTCAATAGGGAAAGGACAGTCTTATCAACAAATGGTGTGGAAAAACTGGGTATCAATAAGAAAAAAAATGAATATTGATTCCTGTCTTATACCATATACAAAAATTAAAACAACATAGATCAAAGACCCAAAAATAATAGTTAAAACTATAAAACATAAGGGAATATCTTTGCCACCAAGGGGAGACAAAGATTTTTTTACGTGGGGCATAAAAGTAATAATCATAAAAACCAAACTTATAAATTAAACTTCATCAAAATTAAAATCTTCTCATCAAAACACAGTGCTAAAAAATGAATAGACAAGGAATGCAATGGGAAAAAAACATTTGCGAAATTATCAGTCATAAAAGACTTGTACCCTACTGCTCGATTAAAACAAAAACTGCAGACACTGAACAAAGGAAGATACATCAGCAGTCAAATAGCCCATGAAAGTGTTTATCATCATTAGTCATCAGCAAAATAAATGCAAATTAAAAGCACAATGAGGTATCACACCCACTAGAACAGCTAAAATTAAAAAGACGAACAAGAAAATGCTGTGAGGATGCAGAACCACCAAATATTCCACACTACTGCTGGGACTGTAAAGTGGCAGGACCACAACAGAAAACGGTCTGGTTGGTTCTTATAAACTGAATTCTGCACCTACCCTTTACCCAAGAGAAATAAAAATATTACTCATAATAGGACTTTTGAATGGATAAAAAACAAATTACAGTATACTGATATAATGGAACAGATTTCAGCAGTTAAAAGCAATTACTGATATATTTAACAACATTAATGAATATCAAAAACATCATGTAAGAGTAAAAATTATAGGACCCCATTCATTTAATGTTCTATAATAGGCAAAACTAACCTATGGTAAAATTAATTGGAAGAGTGGTAGAATCGGGCAGTCAGCCAGGGGGGGAGGGAGATTGACTGGGAAGGGACAGAAGGAACTTTCTGGGGTGGTAAAGGAGATGCTCTATCATGATATGGGTGTATGCTATACAAGGGTATCCATTTGTCAAAACAGTACAATTAAGATGTAATTAGGGGCCGGCCCGGTGGCGCACTGCGCTAGTGCGCCACTTGGGAAGCGTGGCGGTGCTCCCGCCGAGGGTTCGGATCCCACATACAGACCGGTTCCCGCTCACTGGCTGAGCGAGGCGTGGGGGCAACACCGAGGGTTGCGATCCCGTTGCCGGTCCTGGTCCGGTACGGGGGCGACACTGAGGGTTGCGATCCGTTGCCGGACACGGAAAAAGACAAAAAAAAAAAAAAAAAAAGATGTAATTAAAATTTACCTGAAAACAAACAAAAAGAATTATAAAAGAAAATAGGATGAGGGATAAGGAGCGGGTGGAAATAAAGAAATAAGAACAGCAGAAATGCTGCTACTTAGTGAAGCTGGGTGATGGGTAGTTGGAAGCTCATTGTTTTATTTTGTTTAAATTTTTCATTATCAAAAGTTTTTTTTTTTTCCTTTTTGTCTTTTTTCGTGTCCGGCAACGGACCGAAACCCTCAGTGTCGCGCCCGTACCGGACCGGGATCGGGAACGGGATCGCAACCCTCGGTGCTGCGCCCGCCCCTCGCTCAGCCAGTGAGCGGGAACCAGTCTGTATGTGGGATCCGAACCCTCGGCGGGAGTGCTGCCCCACTCCCAAGTGGCGCACTGTAGCAGTGCGCCACCGGGCCGACCCAAAAGTTTTTTTTTTTTAAAAGTTAACAGCAGAGCTGGCTGGTTAGCTTACTTGGGAGAGCCTGGCACTGGTAACACCAAGGTCAAGGGTTTGGTTCCCCCTACTGGCCAGCCACCAAAAACAAAACAAAACAAAAAAAAAGTTAACAGCAAATCTCCCATAGCTCTAAGATCAAGACCAAAGACAAAAGAAGACATGGTTTTCTCAGGAAGTAACCACTTGTGTGATTGCAAACGAGGATCCACATGCAGTGCATCAGAGCTGCTCCCCACCTGCGTGTCTTCCTTCCTGTCTTGCCAAGAAAAAATACACAAGGTGTTCAAGGGTCCCCATCACTGGTCAGCTGAGATGGACATCAGTCCTACCCTCCTAAGCCATCGATTATAAGCCCACGGGGAAACCCAACAACCTACCTGCCCAGCCATCATCAGCATCAGTGTCCAGATCATCAAGGCCCTTCAGGTTTTCCGCATTGATGATGGTGGGCCGTGGAGCCCGTTCTACCAGCTGCCGCAGTGGACGGATCGGGCGAGTCATTCCCAGCCTGTTTTCTTTTCTGATCAGTGAAAGAAAATAAAGATGTTGGACTCATGTCAAGTATACAGATGGAAGCAAAATCAAATACTTTTCCAAAAATAAGTTCTAAATTGCAAAGGTTCATGTTTGATTTAAGATTTACATCATTTCCTTTTAAAGGAAATAGACAATGAACAACAAATACATCCCAGAGAGAAGCTCTGTCTCATCCTGCAGTTTCATGTGTTCGCTGCTAATGCCTAGGGTAGCAGCAAGCACATGACAAAACTTCAACTCTGCCAGAACAAGAAATCATTACTCAACCTCTCATCCAGCTCCAAATCCCAGCCACCCCACACACCCTGGGGTGATGAGCCGGGTTTTAGGTTCTCTGTGGTCTCAGACAACAAAGCACTCGCATACATCAGCCCAACACCTGACCAGCATCACCACCAGGAGTAACCGCTACAGGTGACTATAAAGCAATAGCCTTACCCATCTTGGTCATTCATCTGGAACTGTCTAAAAGGAACGCGGGGTTCAAGGCGGAGCTGAGGAAGGGGAAAAGATCCTCGTTCCACTGTACCCTGGTTCTCTGATGACTGTGGTGAACACATCTGAAACATAACATCAATGAACAGAATATTCTGGTAATGGCCCAAATTCCAAGTTCCAGTAAAGTATAATTTGTTTTGGAAAGTGGAAAATGGGAGAAAGAAACAGGAATGTCTTGGGGTTTCCTAATTAATGCTACCATCATCTCCCCCATTTCTTTCCTGCTGTCAGTAAGTTAACCTGGGGACTTGTATCAGGGAATACCTGCCTCTCCTTTTTCTAATAACAAAGGCTAAAATAATATCCACATCACCAGGAAGAGAAGCTGGCAGCCCTTAAGATTTGAAAAGCAGGGGAGAGAGAATGTAACACTAATGGAAACTTCCGAAGCAGAATATCAGGACAAAGAGTGAAACTGGGAGGGAGAACCCAAGGTGGACATTAGGTTTTGCTGGACATGAACAATCCAACTTCATGGGGGAGAAAAATGTACACTCTGAAGACTTACAAAGGCAGGAAGCATGTCATGATATGTAGGTGGGTGGTATACATTTCCCATGAACTGTGAAGCCCCTTTGCGGACAGGCTGAGCCGGGCGGAGAGAGGGGTCCTTAGAATCGCTGGTACATGCCGAGGAGGGGGCTCCATCTCCCGTACTTGAGTTCCTGCTGCCCAGCTCAGTTGGGGAGGTGCTCAGAGACGTGGCAGAAATTATGTTTCGCCCACCGCCCTCCCTCCAGCTTGTCACATCTGGAAATCGAAAGGGGGCAAAAGGGGAGAGGAAAGAGGAGGGAGAAGGTGGGATTGTATGAGGTTCTGAAGGTCAAGGGACCCCCTCATTCACCAAAGCAAACAAAAAAAAAGCCCCAAAGTGAAGAACTGTCAAGGCTGTCAGGGAAGGTTGGGGGCAGACACCTGGCCAGTGAGTAGGAACTTGCTGAGGGAAGTGTGATTGCAAGAGAAATACAAAATAATATCTACTCAGAGATCAGAGAGAAGGCAATTGTACAAAAGACACAGCTTTGTCTGTTGACAGAAATCACATACACCCACAGATCTTATAACCCAGAGAAATTAAGACAGTCCTGATGAAAACAGCTTTGGGTCATTCTTTCAACAAATGGTGACCCAGCCCCACTAGGGTCAGCACGACGCTCAATACTGAACTTCCTGTTAAAATGAGAGTGACTTCCTGACAGTGTTTTCAAACTTTGTTTAGCAATGGCACCTTTTTACAAAGAGATCCCCCAGTTCATAAGACAGATAAAGCACAGCTGCTCTCATTCCAGCGAGGGCGGGGGCACTCATGCATGTCACAGGCAGAAACTTCCAGCCCAATCTTTTTAAGACAGTGCTCTCCATTGCCAAATGTTGTTAAGATCTGGTAGAAATTACTACAAGCCACAAAGAAATACAATGAGCCAGAAGACCTCTCTTTTCAGTCAGCTTTTGGTTAGGAGTTGAAGCATAAAAGCTCCCTGAGTCACGTGATTCCTTAGAGAAAGACAATCAAGAAGAGCCACAGACCCAGAGTCTGCCCCCAGCTCTTCAACCACTGCCATGTGATTTTGGGCAAACGGAGGTCACCCCTCCAGCCATCTGTTTCTCTGACTTCAATGAGATGGAACTGATCCTAAAAGCTTCTTCTAGTTCTAAATTTTTATAGTCCCACAAAGCAGCTTTTTTTAAAAAGATGACCGGTAAGGGGATCTTAACCCTTGACTTGGTGTTGTCAGCACCACGCTCTCCCAAGTGAGCTAACCGGACATCCCTATATAGGGATCCGAACCCGTGGCCTTGGTGTTATCAGCACCATACTCTCCCAAGTGAGCCCCGGGCTGGCCCCAAAGCAGCTCATTTTAATTAATCCAGAAAAATACAATTCTTGTCCTAAAGAATTTGATTCTAAATAACCCCGTGTGGGCCACTGGAGAGGCAGTTATGTTTTAAGTAGAGTCTCATAGTGATAATTTAATTCACAGAATATCAGTTCTCACTTAAGATCTGTACAATGAACAGAAAAGGCCTTGGGGATTAATCAAGACTAGCAAATGAAAGCCCCTCTCATTTCAAGACCTAATCTAGACCTTGAAAAACATGAGCCACTTCAGAGTCCCTGGTTAGAACAGACAGAAAATCTCATTCTTACATACTATCTTCACCTCAAACCACACAAGGCCTCTAAGAAAAAAGTATTCCAGCAAGCAGCAGCACACAATCCTGCCATCTCCTCAGCAGACATGAGACGAGGGGCAGTAAAGCATGGTATGGGGCTGGCTGTACAACAACCCCCAGAGGAACATGTTAAAAATAGAGATTCTAATTTGGCCAGGGTGAAGGGGAGGGCAGTGCTGAAACTCAGACTTTTTCACAAACTCCCCAAATGATTCTAACAGGATTCAGCTAGGTTTGGGAACCACTGGTTTGGAAAACAAGCTCCTAAATCAGGGACTCAAGTTAATTGGCTCTTTGTCTGTCCTTGCCACAACCTCCCAGCACAGTAAAACCAACAACTGGATGACAGATGGGAAGGGGACAGGCCTGGCCCAACCCAAAGAACAGGAAGGGCAGAAGTGAGCTCTAGAACAGCCTAGGGGATAAGTCCATCGGACACACAGACCAAGTGAGGGGCCAACAGCCATACTTCCTCGCTCGGGAGCCTGACACCCCCGCAGTGGTAGCCTCTTCTGAGAAGGCAGAAAGATAAGATGGGGAGACTCTGCCACGCTGGTGAGAGCTGAGGCAGAGACAGTGGTCACTTACTCTGAGGGCGGAGGCTTGGTCCTGGCCCATACGACAGATCTAAGACGCCCTTTTCTTTGCCAGCCTTGTCCTGCCCTCCAGCTGCTTTCAGCGTCGGAAATTCCTCGGGAGAGAAGGATAACAGTCGGCTTGAGCCCCTTAAACCTGGTGAGATAACCAGAAAGACACATGGAGCAAGTAAGCTCAGATCCACAGCTGTCCACTTCCCAGCTCCATGCACTGAAGCCATACTGCCCTGAAGCGGCTCTTTCGGAGGGAGCCGTGCTAAGCAGGCCTCTGTGCAGCTGACGGCCCCAGGGTGGAAGGAGAGGCTGCGCAGATAGCACCATGCCCCTACCAGCTGACCCGCAGGGGCACCAAGGCCATGGGGTAGGACACTGCAGCAGCCCCAGCCCACATCCTTCCCCAATCCCAGAACAAGTCAGAAAGGGTCTTCTGGAAGCCCTGGGTGGCAGACCAGCATGGTCTTCAGCAAAGTCAGCCTGGGAAAGACAACTGCTCTCATGTGAAGGCACTGCCAACAGAAGGTGCCCCCGCCCCCATTTACATGCACCAGCACCTCCCCGTTCATCTGTCCTTCCTCTGCCCATTTCAGTTTACCATTTTCTATGAACTTCTTCAAGCCCTACCAAGCCCAACATTCTACTCTTATAATCCTGGGAACAGCTTCTTTCTTGTTCTTTCATTCACTCTCAACATTACAAACTTCTTTAAGAGAAACTTTTTCTTAATCTTGTTCCTATAATATATGTCACTTAGCACAACAGTTCTTTAGCCACATTTTGGATGAACAGATAATAAATGCTACATTTTAAGGTTCAGAGTGGGAGTTGATCCTTTTACCTGAAATATGTAGCACATGCACAGCACCATGTCAGTCTAAAAACAATAGTAATATCACACACCACAATGTCCCACTGTGGTGTGCCTTGTTCCCTACACAGTTAAAGCCAAATTTCTCCTAGGTATTATTCTTAGTACCACCAATTCATGGACCTGTTAACTATGGCAGAGACTTTGCCAGAAAGATGCCGCTGGGATTACCGCAGATGCACAAAGCAGCAATTCATTCCCCATCTCACTTAGTAAAAAGTTCCAGGGTCAAATACACCTGTCAGGGTGACAACTGGACACTTCATTCAATGGCTAACCTGAGAGAAAATCTCCAAGCGGCACAAAGGAGCTCTACTGCTCTGCGAAGGGAACTTTGACTCACAGAGTTGCTTCATTATGTTAAAAGGTCACTAGCAAGAATGAAATACGAAATCATGTTTTAAAAATATGGCAGATTATTTAAAACTAGAAAGAAACCCAGCATATGTCCAAGACTACTGTTCCAAATGTCCCCCCTTTTTTTTTTTTACCTCTACGGTCATGAAGGTATTATTGTAAGTATGAATTAAACTTACCCTCCACAGATGAAGGTAGAACTCAAAATCTCAAACTAAAACACTAGAATTCCTAGGGTTTCAATGCTTTTTCACCCACTATCTGTTCTCTGCTCTGAGAAACTGAGTCAGTACAGTCAGGGGGCTACTTCTAAGGTCACAGGTGGAGCTACTGGGGTGTAGCTGGCATCGGAGCCCGTAAGCCATGTGCTCTGGCCTCTGCCTGAACCACATAACCAGGTCTCCTGGGTCTGTGTCAGGTGACAGAACTCAGGTGAAAGAGACCACAAGACCATCTTCCATAGGGGAAGAATCTATCAACTCACATGTGGCCCCAGCACAAGAGGGAGAACCAGAAGCCTGATTCCTATCTCAGCCCTGCCTGGGCCCAGCATGTGTGTTTTCTGGCTTCTGGGTTCTGCCTGAGTCACATGTCAACAGAGTATTTTACTGTGTTTTTGAATCACTTTCTAAATCAAGCTTTGTTTCTGAAACATAATACAGTTACATGGTTCAAAAGTGAAACGCCTGGATCCCCGAACCGGCCACTGTCCATCCCCCCACCCCCACTCCAAAGTCTGGAATTTATTCAAATCCAATTTGTGAAGATATTCGTAGGCAAATTTATGCTATAATAGAAGAACTCCCATCCCTGAGCTTGAAGCAAGAATTGATGCTGTGAATGCTGAGATAGTTCGAGAAGTATGTATATGATAATTTGAGAATATGTTTATGATTAGAGTTCAGCATCGCAGCTGTTTGTCCCATTGAGCAACTACCAGATTTTAACAGGATTCTCAGTAACATGTGCTGGCTTAGCAGTTAAAATGCTCCTAATAAAATATCTTGAACATACATATTTATAAAATTAAGAGACCTGTAAATTTTAAGCTATCAATTCCTAAATTAAAAAAAAAATGAAAAAGTGAAAAGCCATAAACAGGTATAAAATGAAGCTTTCCTCTCACTCTTTTTTTTTTTGTCTTTTGTCTTTTTCCGTGTCCGGCAACGGATCGCAACCCTCAGTGTTGCCCCCATACCGGACCGGGGACCGGCAACGGGATTGCAACCCTCGGTGTAGCTCCCGCGCCTCGCTCAGCCAGTGAGCGGGAACCGGTCTGTATGTGGGATCCGAACCCTCGGGCGGGAGCGCCGCCGCGCTTCCCAAGCAGCGCACTATCCAGTGCGCCACCGGGCCGGCCCTTTCCTCTCACTCTTAAGCCCATCTGCCCACTTCTAACTCCTCAAAAAATTGGTAGTTTTCTGCTTCCTTTCTTTCTCTGCATTTCCTTCCAGAGATTAAAAATAAAAAATTCATGGAAAACATTTTTTAGAAGTATTTTTTTCCTACCCCATTTTTGCACAAATGGTGAGCTTTGTACATGCCATTCTGTACCCTCTTTCACTTAAGAATAAATCCTGGAGATCCTGCCTTATCAGCAGAAAACTACTATTTTTCCTTATAGCTGAACCACATTCCCTTGAAGTACCATACGGATAGACATTTCGAGTGACTGCTTCCAACCTTTTGTTATTACGATGTTGTAGTAAATGACCTTGCACTCAGGGCAAGCATAATTTACAGGGTGATTTCCTCATAGTGGAACTGCTAGGTCAAAGGGTATATGTATGAATATTTTGACAGGCAGTGCCAAACTACCTTACATATGAATTGTCCCTATTCATACTGTTTTTTTTTTTTCAATCTCTATAGTTTTTAAAATAAAAATTAACATTCTATTTACTTTTTAAAATTCTCACCTTACAGGTATATAGGATATAGAAAACAGTTAACAGTCTAGTGAGCGCTCTTTATAAAGCATCTTTCAAAACCCTGAGGTCACTGAAAGGTGTGTGGCTGCCCCTCTCTCCACATGGAAAATCGGTAAAACTCTATCGCAGCATGGGGCCAAGCTTCCTCCGCCTGGTGTGAAATCAGGAGCATTCACACTATGACCTCAGCACCTTGGGAGAAGCTGGAGCATTGAAACTACTTGGCACACTGACTGATTTGTCATTTCCTGTTGCGGACTGAGGAAAGAGCCTTCAATCTCAGTGATTTCAATCCAGAAGAACCATGTCTCCCAGGTGTGGCAGTCTGGGGGTGGGGGTACAGGGAAGGCAGGATGCAGAGCTGGTTTTCTAAAGCAAGTGACAAAAGTTCAAGTCTGGCAGCGCCTTGGCTGTCAGGGACAAGGCAGGAGGTGGAGGGCAATGCCAGGATGGGGCAAAATGTGCAAAAAGGCAGCCAGTGCCGCTCTACAGAAGGAGGGCAGAGGGGGGCTTCACCAGTTCATCATGTGCAGCAACCACTCACCCTACTGTCTCTCCCTTCCAGCACAGAAGTGTTGCCTAGTTTGGTTTGCACAGTGTGCTAGAAATACCTGAGCTAACGCTGAAAAATTAAAAGAGTTCATGTAGAAAAATCTGTATCTTTGGTTCTCTCTAAAACACCTACTGACCCTGGGCCGACATTCTCCCAGGACAGCCTGGTTGCCCTTCTGCATGGGACTCATGCAAACCGCTTCACCTCTCTGTTCTGGGCCTGCCTTGGAAGCATCTGAATTTGTAATTCCCATTCTAAATAGTTGCTCGGCATTTATTTTTTAAAACTCTCAACACTTTCTCCTTCAGTCCATCTTCCTTCACCTTTCTTCTACTGCACTACTCACAGAAGCAGCACAACAGACACTGTTTTCTGAGAGCTTCCTGTGTGTCGGCACAACACTAATGGTAACAATACCACACAACTCTCTGAGTGCTCTGGTGCTAATGTCCAAAAGCAAGCAGTTCAATCCCCATGGCTGGCTCTTTTATCAACCCAAGTCTGAAGCTAAAGCCACACCACGCAACACCTCCTGCTTGAGGTCCCGGGAGAGAGGAAGTAGGTGGTGTTGGCAAAACTACAGAATAGGTATTAATTCCACCAGCAGCACAGCCCAATTAGAGAACGGTGGGGCCAGCACACAGGTCTCCTCTGGACCCCAACAGGTATGTCTTTAGCAATAATATTCAAAGAAATCAGAAAACCGACTTCTTTCACAGAATCGGCACCTCTGCCACTGGGGCAAACAAAGGCAAGGGCTCCCTGGAACATTAACTCTTCGTGGAAGAGATTCCACAAACCTTCCAGGTGCCTAGACCCAACCAGAATAGTCAGGGAAAGGTCCTCATCCTTCCCACCCACCCAATTCATGGTCACATGCACACACTTACCACCTTCGTGTCCGACTGGCTTTCCATTCAGCTGTGCCCATGACTTTGGTCCACCTGGCACTGAATTTGTATTCTGCAGAAAGGAAGTAATTGAGAAGAGAGCCAGCTTAGTAAGTCTACTGTCCAATAACCAAGCATGTTAGATTAAGGGGCTCAGAGGCTGGCCCTTAGATTCAAACTCCACTTGGATATATCAATGGCTGCTTTCTGAGCAGCATCTAACTACGTGAGCATTTCGTGCAGTACCCTACTCCATGCAGCAGCCTCAGGGATCAGTGGCTGCTGAGCCACTGTACAGAAGAGGAAGAGGACGGGGGAGTGACTGGCTGTAAGCCACACAGCCAGTCACACGGCAAAGCCAGGACTCAAACCCATGTCTGCCTCATGCTGTGCTCTGGAACATTCTGTCAGGTTGCCTCTTGTGCTCACACAGAGCTACTCTGTCTTGCTCCACAGACAAAGACCAAACCCCACTTCCAGCACATGTCTCATAAACTGTGTGCCACCACTGACCAAGGAACATAAACACGGGAAACCCAACGCACCCGCTCTTCACTGCATGGGCCAGTGGCAGCACCTTCTGTAATAACTGTTACTCTACAAGGCATGGCTCCCCCTGTGAGGGGCCTTCCTCCTCCACTCATCTGGACTTGCCTGTCAGACTCAGCCCTACACCCCAGGTGACTTTTGTTGCAAGCTCCCTGGGCTCAGGCATTATGCCAGGCACAACCAGCCTGACCGAATCCTTGCCACCCTGGGAAGGTTCTAGTCACATCCCAACTAATTTTCTGAAAGGAGCGACTGACTCAGATACCCAGCTACAGTGGCAGAACCAGGACATGTCCCCAGCCCACCTATATCCAAAGCCCTTCTAGTCCCTAATCACTAAGATCATCTGCCTTTTCCAACAACATCCAACCTGACAGCCTCCCCATCTAACTAAAGGTAAAGACACACAAAACAAAGCCGATGCAACATGAGGTTCCATCACTCACTGGATTAGACACCAAAGTAAAGAACTACCTTTTCCCATCCACTCCTCCTGTCCAGTCCACCTTCTATCACCACCACACACAAAGCAGTCCCTCTTGCCTTCAAGGCAGAGCTGACCCGGTACAACGACCCATATCACAGAGTTGCCCTGAACGCTCTACACGGGTGGCCTGGAAGGCCTACAGGTCTCTCCCAAGAGATCCCATATGAGATGTGCAGCAGTGGTGCAGCTGGGCTAGACAGGCTCTCAAGAGAGCTGGGAGAGCCTTCAGCCCCAGCAGCATGCAGAGGGGTCCTGAGGCTGGTCTCACCCAACTCCTCCTCTCCCCGTTCTCATACGTGATCCCATGCCCTGCACTTGGTGTCTGTAAACATAGAGATGTCTCGCCTTCCTCCACTCAAAGGCACTAACTGGACAGGATGCCTAAAAGACCAAGAAGGGGATACTAATATTTCTGGCAAACTTTATCCTGAGGGCAGAGCTGCTGTAATACCTCTGAGATGTTCTAAAAGCAAAACATTGGGTCTCTCATCTTCTTACCCCCTTCTGCATTGAGAGAAAACCAGGTGGTAGCTAAGAGCTGAGCGCTGGGTGAAATGACCCATGTGGTAGCACCAGGTTGGGGCTCCTCCACCCTGATCACAGCACAGCCCCTTCAGTGATTATTTAAGCACATGCCCAGGACATACCAGTCTCCAGTGGTAGGGTCCAGGCATGTACATTTTTTAACTAGCTCAGAAAAGAGTCTGATGTACAGCCAGGGCTGAAAAACCATGGCTCCATAATCTCAGTTTCAAATTCTGGGAAACAGAAATGAACTTGACTCTACCTGCTGTGACTGGTCAACAGGCCCCAGTGGGTTTAGGCCAATGAATATGGAGTCTCACATGAACATGGATCTCTTTCCTTCTTTGTCCTTAACTTCAAAAGCACAGTTCAGTGTTGGGTGGGGGCAAAGCCACATACTTTCCCAAATGTGGTTAGAGCAGAGAGCAGATGACACTTCAGACCTCACAATGCCCAGACAGAACTACACAAGCAAAATACGGTACTTCAAGTTCTTGTAAAGAGAGCTGGTGAGTAACAGGTGTCTATGTCTACATTTCTTTTTGTCTTCTAAAAAATTCATGGACCTCTCATCTAGATTTATAGCTACTAGCTAAATAGAGCACATCCTCCTGCTGATCTCTGTAAACCCACATCCAGATTCTGATGAACTGAGTGTATTACGAGCTCTTGCTTGGTTAAATCATAACTTTCTGTTTGGAGAAACATTTTAAATGTATCAACAAATTAAGGGTTATAACTCAATATTTTCCAGAATGTGTTCTGACAGACATAAGTCCTTAGAGACTCTCAGTTAAGAAAGGTATCCTAGGACAGGTAACTTTGGGGAATGCTGTCCATTATGTCTTGTTCTTATAGATTCATAGTACACATTAGCAAATTCAAGGCACTGAGAGGTATTGCAGTAAAGGAGTATGCTAAATTTTGTTTTTCAAATTCACCTGACCATTAAACTTTTTAAAAGTGGCTTAACACTTTTTGTCTTCTTATAACACTAGTTTCCATGGAGCACATTTAGGGAAACCCTGAGCTAGCCTGCTGTCTAGCCTGAGTGACTTTACCTCCAGATAAATCAACGGGAATCAAAGTAGGTGTCTGTATTCTATTCTGGACCTGGGATCTTTCTCCAAAAGTTGCAGATTAAATTTCTTCATCACACCACAACAATTTCCCATGCTCACTTTCTGAAGTCACTCATGTTTGTCTCTAGAATGAACAGGTCATTCTTCCCAGCAACAACTCCTATCAGTCCCCAACAATAGGGACCTTTAGGGGCTACAATGCCCAGGAAACAGCACCTACCTCCTGACTGATTGACTGTGTCGGCTTCTGCAAATTGGAGACAGATTTCTGCAAACCCGGCTGCGGCAGCGACTCCGGCTGCTGAGAGGCCGTCACACTGGAACTAGACAAAGGCAGGACAAACAGTGGGCATTAGATGCAGCATAGGCATATGCATTTCCAAGAGCCACAGCTGCTCCACTGCTCACTCAGAGCAAGACCTCCTCTGCCAGTAAAAATAATACTTTCCCCAGCAGACACTTATGCTGGCAAAAACTAATGAGAAACTGAACCATGTCTGAAATCTATTCAATGACATTTTACAGGACAAGACAGTCCTCTGCTTTCTGGTAGAGCTTTCTATCTGCAAAAACTGAAAGCTCATTGTAAACAATGGAAGTGATGGAGGAGTTGCCAAGAGGAAAACTAAGTCACGGGAGGGAAGGGGCCCGAGCCCCTTGCTCCTGACATAGAGCCCACACCCACTCAGAGAGTTGGCTGAATGCTTTGAAACACAAGCAGACTTTTTACCTTTTCTTGGCTTATAAAAGAAATACATGCTCATAGTAAAAATAAATTTATAAATATATATAACAGAATTTGTCACAATCTCATCTTCCAGAGAAACTCCAGGCAGATTTCTCTATACATGTGTTAATACTTTTTTTTTTAAACCAGTAGGATAACATCACACATACAATTCCATACCTTGGTTTTTACTTCATGTCTGTGAATGTCTTTTCACAACAATACTTCTTTCTTTCAGCAACAACACAGCACAATTGGATAGGCCATAATTTCCCTAATCTCCAGTTTGGGGTTTTTATTACAGAGAAAACTACAATCAGCACTTTTGTATACATATCTTTGCACACATTTCTGTAAGTAATTCAATAGCATAGGATCTTAGAAGTAGAACTGCTGGATCGAAAGATCTTCTGAAGTTTAAAAGATATTGCCAAACTGTCCTCCAAAAAAAGTTGTGCCAGTCAATTTATACTCCACAAGTAATCTTTTGAGAGATCCACAAGAAAGGACTCTGAATGAAGAATTCTGCTCTGACTCAGCAGCTTTCTAGTCACTCTTTCTATTCAACTTTCCATTCAACAAGAGATTCAAGGAGGGCAGCCATCCACTTGGCGAGAATCCATCCAATGCCAGTGGCTTAACTGAAAGCCGAAGCCAAATTCTATGCAGACACACTCTTCCAAGGTTCACTTGACCCAAGTAACTCACCATTCATGACTATTACAAAACGAAGGCCATTGATCATCCTCTCATGTCACCTTCTACCTAAAGTAGAAGCCAGATTGTGGCACTTCTGTGTTCTTCACCACCATGGGCCCACCCCCACCCCACTCCGCCACCTCCCTGATACCCCTGAGGGAGGACATGGCCTAGGCAGTAGAGAAACACCCCTGGGGTTTTCTAACTTCTCCAACACTCGCCTCTTCACCTCTTCCCTGGCAGACGTGTTCTAGCAGGACCGGCCCTCATTAATGTCACCTGATACTTTCTATGCCAATGCTGGGTAAGACTGGATAAAAGGAGGTGGAGAGACTCTGTGTCCGCTTCTCTCTAGAACTTTCAGTAGCAGAGGCATTGCGGTGCTTCCACTGAAATGTGCAATATTTGTTTCACTGAAGGGCTTGCAGTGGGTGCCATCTGGACGCCCTTCTGTGTGCCAGGCTCTGTGCTAAATTCTTAATCTGTGTTATTCCATCAATTCATCCTTGATTCTTCATATCCACCCCAGAGCCAGGTAACATATTCCTACATCAAGGGAGGACACTGAGGCTCAAATAACTCTCCAGGTTCCATCAAGCTAATAAATCATCTGGCTGGAAATCACAGGCAGGGCTGTGGCCAATGAATAGGATCCCTAAGCAAACTATTAGAAAACACTTGTAAATAATTTATAAGACCCTATTTTGGTTATTAATACTTTATAATCATCTGGCTGGATTATTTGCTCACTCTCAACATCTTGTCTGAACAACCATAGGCAACAGTTTAACAAAAGCTGCCATGCCCACTTCCGGCATAGGCTTGAAAGAAAAGGTCACTGGCTGGCAGGCTGCGTCCAGGTCACATTTACTGTCTGGCATCATCAGCAGGGAGACCACAAGAGATGCAGGGGCAGAAGGACCCATGGGACTGGACTATTTTTGTTTTCATTGTCAAGACGCAAAGCCCAGCAGCAGGTTTCTGTCTGCCAGCCTCGGCAAGGTCCTATACCTCCCTGAGTCCCTCCCAGAACAAATCCTCTTCCCTGGACACCCGTATCACTGGTGGAACAGTGAGAGAAGACTCGCAGGGGAAGGAGACGAAGGCTCAGACACCTGAGGAGCTCACACAGGTGCACCCCAGGCAGCCCAGGCCTCGTGTTTTCGGCACCCAGCAACAGCCACAGTTGCTTATTTCTCTAATGACAACACTGTGCCAGACCCTCAGCCTCTTAAGGCTTCTCTAAGTGCTGTGCTGGCAGGAGGTGGGCCCCCAGGGAGGATGGCCTACAGCGACCCTGGGTGATGAGGAGTCTGTGTTGTTTTCACTAATAACTGGGTCTGTTTAGAGCAACAGCAGCAATCATCTCTGTCTGGGAAGCTGCTGTGCCTACCGTTGAGGAGGCTGCATTCTGTTCCACCTGGAGCTCAGCACAAAGGGACACCTACCCCTAAGAACAAAGTGTGCAACCACCCTCTCTGCCCACAGCAGTTCTTATAGGAACAGGCTCTGAATCACTGCATTAGCTCCTCTGGGGTGATGAGGCCTTTCCTAATAAGGCACAGGGGGACACCGGTCACTGGGGACAAGGCTGCTCACAGACACACTGATAAATCAGCTGGAAACGCCAGGAAAAATGAAGGCAAGAAGCAAGAAACACACTAAGCAACAGGAGTCAGAGAGAAGGAAGCTTCAGCTGTACTCCCCCAGTTCTCTAGCTCTGCCAGAGGGAACGTAGCTGGGCAGTCAATGGTGCTCGGGCCCCGACTCACCGCCTACCTTCCTTTGCTGCTTACCTCTTTGGGTCTTGCTGATCCTGCTTGTTTGCCCATCCCGTCCCGTCCTTGGGTACTATTACGATGTTGGGGTCGTTTCCTTTGTTTTCAGACTTCAAGCTTGGCAGGTTTGCAGGCGGTGGCATACGCCGGGCAGTGGCAACTTTCCCAAGACTCTGTAAGCCATGTCTAGGAATAACTGCAGGAGGAGAGAGGGATAGAACAGGCACCACAAAGAAAAGTCACAGAAGGAAAGAGGCCTGATTCATTCAGCTGGTCTCTCAAACTCTAAGTGATAATGACAAAGCCAACCAACAAAAAACAAGAGGTAGACCAGCAGTGCAGACAACGTAAGTGTTTGGTAGTCACTTTAGCAGCTCTTCGCCAAGGATTTCAGAGACAAAGAAGCTGCTGAAATCTGCACAAAGGCTTCGAGTTTACTAGTGGGCAGGAGAAGGCTCAGGGAGTTTATGACATGGGTGAGGAGCCAGGCCCAGAAGCCTCCACCCCACAGAGCAACCACCTCTCTCTGCAAGTCGAGACGGCTCTGGCCTCATTACAGCAGGCCTGAAGGGACAGCCTCTGCCTAGACCCAAACCAAGTCTGCACAGGGGCCCTTCAACACTCATGAAGTCCTCATGGGGTGTGGATAGGATCGACATGGACTTTTCCCACCAAGTTCCAGAATATCAGAACCATGAAACCTAAAAAGTACAATGCTAATGCAAATTAAGTTCCATTCTACCCAGCAGGATGAAAATGTCCATGGCTTTAACAAGGTAGTCAATGGAGAAATAATTCAAGTCCATGACAGTAGGATATTCAAGGCTCTGAAATCAGACCACACAAAGGAGCAGAGGGTGATTCTGCTTCCCCAGAGCTACCCGGTGACCACACATGTCCAGAAGACCAGTTTGCATGGACTCATGTATCTGAGCAGGTGGGGAGCTGCAAAGATTCTCATGGCGGGGGTGGGGGGGAGGGGAACGACTGAAAGAATCAGCCCACACCGGGCCTTACCTGAGGATCTGATCGCGTCTACTGATTTTCCTTTATACTTATCAAACAGGCTGAGAGTCGAATACTTGCTTTTCCCATCCTTGCCCTTGGTTATTTGCCCCAAACGATCGGACATTGCGATGAAATGTCATCTAGTAAGGAAATTTTTCTCGGCACCGCTCCCAATCTGCCTTTGAAATGGAAAAAAAAGAGTGTCAATCCACCAGAACCTCTGATCCAGTGGACAGAATTCTTTAGGGGATGCGAACCTCCTTGAAGATCTGAAGAAAGTTTTGGATTCTGTCCCTAGAAAAATGCCCTTACCACCCACAAGCAGTTTGCTCACATCTAAAAGGTGTTTTGTAGACACACCCAGGTGATCCGGGGACGACCCCCCACCGCCAACCCGTTAATTACTCTCACTTGGTCTGAATTGGCTGGAGTCTATGCACCTCAGCCACACTCAAATGTTAACTTTAACACACCAAGTCCTCCCTCCAAGTCAAGGACAGTTCTTTTTTTTAAAAGATGACCGGTAAGGGGATCTTAACCCTTGACTTGGTGTTGTCAGCACCACGCTCACCCAGTGAGCAAACCGGCCATCACTATATGGGATCCGAACCCGGGGCCTTGGTGTTATCAGCACCGCACTCTACCGAGTGAGCCACAGGCCGGCCCAAGGACAGTTCTTCAAGATGGAAAATGCTCACTGCTTGGAGCACATCATGTAACATCAAACACAAGGAAGGCAGAACAGGGGAGGTACACAACCCATTTATGTTACCAGGGCTGTTCACCTCCAGACGAACAAAACCAAATCAAAAGCAACCAAAGTAAGTAAAGCATTCAGGAAAAGCTGGGTGTATGCACTTCCCAAAATAAAGAACTAGCACCCAGAGAGAAAACATCTGCTTAGGCAACAAAGCAGGTCTCTGTAAGGTGCACATGTGGAAATACGAAGCAAGCACTCCCCAGGGCTGACGAGGGAGGGACCACATGGGACCGTACTGTCTCCACCTAGAGAAAAACCTTGAAAAGACAACCAAGAAAGATGCTTTCTCCCTCTGCCTCTCGCTCATTTTCCACAGGTGTCTCCATCAGCTCTTTCCTGATCAGTTTGTGTCCACTTGCTCGCTGGCCACCAAGGGTGGCTGCTGTGGACTAAGAACACCACTGCCTTTTATGCCTTTTCTTTTTTTGGCTGGTGGACAGTACAGGGATCCAAACCCTTTAACCTTGGTGTTTTCGCATCATTGTCTTTTATTCTACACCCAACCTTGGCTATAGGTTCTAAACTTAATTACAAAAACAAAAACAACAACAACAAAACCCTGAAGTGATCATTATTTCCCACTGAAGTTAACATACATAAAAGATAGCTAAAGCATCAATGTACTGACAGTACATCCTTAACGACTTACTGGCGATAACTATAAAAACCTTCAGTGACTAATAAAAGGCACTTGCTGGTAGCTGTGGCAGTAACACCTGCCAGTTCATCATCCAGTTCTGAAGCCACGCAGGCCAGGAGGAATACATCCACTGTGCTGGGGACGCATTTTGCACCCCAAAAGATGATTTTAAACTTAAAACTCTATATTATGATCCAAGACTATAAAACACAGAGAGCAAAGATCAATTACAAACTAGGGCCCAGAAAAAGGGCCCAGAAAAAGTGAGACGGGAACTGCCAACATCACATACCTCCACGCAGACCAAGCCCGGTGCCATGTCAAATGTGAAGGAAGTGTGCTCTTACACAAACTGGGTATACAGCCATCCTCTCACTCATTTAACAAATACTGACTGATACCCTAAGACCTGCCAATCACTGTGGAAACAGCTAAGCATGCAATTCGTATCAGGAAATGCTCATAAAGAAGGTACATAGGTGGGTGCCAAGGATGGGTATTGTGAGTTGGATACGTGTGTGTAGGGGACACCTATCCCCGGTAGTCAGCTCAGCACCCCTTCCTGGGGGAAATACTTCTCTCCTCCCCAGATGGTTTCAGCCATCCTGGTTAAGTAACTCCTTTCTCTCACTCAATGCCCCCTTGATTCAGCTGTTGCCAAAGGAGAAGGCAAGGGCCAAGGAATAGCAGGGTGTCTGAAAATGTGTAGGAGCATTTTTGACTGTCACGAGGATGGGAGTGAAGCTCACACACAGTGGCCAAGCCCAGGGATGCTAAAGGGTACTACAGTGTGTAGGAGTATCTGGCACAATAAAGGAACCTACCAGCAAAAATGCTCCCAAGTTTACATGTCAGAAGCCACTCAACACTACTAGCCCTCCCCAGTGTCAGCCTCATGTACCAGGAGCAAAGAATGGCAATGACCAGGGTGGGAACTGGCCCAAAGAGTCCAAATTCTGATTCTGGTGCTCAAGTCCTGGCCACCTCCTTGCCCTAGGGTCCAGGGCACACCCCTTTATCTTTAAATCTCCCTTCCCTAAGCTGACTCCCAAAAGGCATAACTAATAAATACTAACATCCCTCCCCCAGGCTGGTCTTAAGCCCCTGAGGACAGAGACTGGATCTTACCTGCTTCAGAATGACGAAGTATTTAATAGGATCTCCAGTGTAAATCAACTGAAATTCTCCATTAAAATTGGATGAGATCTAGGTTTTAGACATTTCTGTCAAATCAAACCAATAATTTGAAATAGAAAAGTAAAAACCACTTGGGTAGAAACCCCAAGCACTATCGTGCTTGTGTGTGCACGCGCGCGGCACACACAAATTTTACCAAAAGCCCTTGAAATTGCCACCATGGTGATGGCATCCTGCAGCCCCTGCCTTACAGAGCCTCCAGTCTAGAACAGGAGCCAGCAAACAATGACCAGGGCCCCAGCCAATGGCCTCTTTTTGTACAGTACTCAAGCTAAGAATTACTTTATTTTTACATTTTTTAAATGTTTTTTTTAAAAAAAAACAAAGTCTGTGCAACAGAGACTGCATGTGGCCCACAAAGCCACAAGCAGAAAAAGTCTGCTAACCCTGAGTCTAAAAGGAAATGCCACAGTGGGGGAAGGGCCCAGGCAGAGGGACAGACCTGTGCCATTTATACACTGGTCGGACACTATTCCATGGACTACGACAGGGACACTTAGGGACAGTCTCTTTAACTCTTTTTACAAACTTGTTGTGGTAGGCTGAATGGGTTTGTAAAAAGAGGGTTACACAGTCCCTCAACAAAGATGCTGATGTCCTAATCCCCAGAACCTGTGAATATATTACCTTTACACAGCAAAAGGTATTCTGCAGATGTGATTAAGTTAAGAATCTTGGGATGGGGAAATTACCCAGGATTATCTAAGTAAGCCCACTGGAATCACAAGGGTCCTTATAAGAGGGAGGCGGGGGTCAGAAAGGTATGACAATGGAGCAGAAGTTGGGGTGCTGCTCTCTGAAGATGGAGGAAGGACCACAAGACGAAGACTACCGATACACTCAACATTTCTGAATCTCAAAATAAGTAGGCAGAATGAAAGAAGCCAGAGTACATACTGCATGATTCACTTTATAGAAAATTCTAGAAAATGAAAACTAATCTGTGGTTAGATCAGTGGTTGCAGTTGGGGGTGGGAGCAATCAACATGGAATCTTCTTAATATGCCTGATTTCTTAAATCAAATGTCATGTTATTCTGACATAACCAGAAAATACTTTTGTTTCTACAGATAGTGCTAAAAAAGCCTTTTAAAAATGTGCTACCCCTAGCTTCTGCCAGTTAGTTCACTGACACAACAGACCTTTCTTGGACTCTGCACTGACCAGAAGCCAGGACCAGACCTGTGGGCAGAGGTTAGAGTGTACACAGATAGCTCTTGGTGCATCTACCTGGTGCATACCACGCTTCTCTCAGATCGATCCATTCCCACCCCCATCACCAGGGAGCACTAGGAGAGCTGACCATGCCCCACTCCTAGCACTCCGGAGAAAAATAAAGAAAAACCCAGGGCAAACATGAGTCACTCACCTGGGAATTTAGAATTGTGTGTAAGAGATGCAAGTCAATATATGACTGTTGCTTGAACTTTGTCCTTCCAGTAAATTCAACCATCTGACAAATATTACTTGGGCACCTACTATGTTCCAGGTGAAATGATTTCTACCCCTTGCACCACAGGGCCTTGGTGAAGTCAACACAAGGAATACACTGGACTAATACCTGCACTAAACTTGCAATTTTAACCAGGTCTTGCACCTAATGGGTACACTGTTGGCCTCTCCAGATCTCAGTTTCCCCATCTACTGAATGAGGGACCTGGATAAGAACTCTCAAGTACCAGTCAATTCTAAAACCAAGCACATCAATTTAATAACCCTCAGCCAGACAATTACAAATAATTTATTGTCCAATCAGCCATCTCTTACCATACACCAAGGATTGGATTCCATATTCCTATATAAACTTGGGATGCTAACAAACAGTCAACTGAGGCACCACTGCTATGGAAACGGCACCTGTGGGGGAGGAACCTGACACTTGTTCATTCAGACTCTCCAACAATGAAGACTGCACAGGTGGAGGTATTTTCAGCCCCAATTTTCTCTTAGAGCAGGGGCCAGCCAACTATAGTCAGCCTGAAGAAGAATATGCCACAGAGGCTATACATGACTCACAAAGCTTAAAATATTTACGTGGCCCTTTGTAAAGTAAGCTTATAGACACCTGCCTTATAGCATTCAAGGGTTCTCCCATTAAGCTAAGTTTTACTGGACAAAACTCCAAAATAAAAATATTATCACTTGGATGTCCCCCAATTGTATGTATCACCACTGAAACAGTGCCACATTTGGGGCCTCGGCCAGCCCATGCCCATCTGGCTCCTCTGCTTACCAGCTACAGGCCAAGAGCACTGACTATGAGTAGGGCTTTAACCACCTTCCAAATATTGGCTGAGTTTCTATCCATCAATACACACACTCCCACAAGCTAGACTAGCCTCGTCAGAGGGGAGGAAGAAAGCACAGGCAAACATTTGCTTGTGAATCAGGAAGCTGGCGGAGGTGACAGAACATGCTTCTGGACAGGTCAGAGGCATGTTCATCCAAGTCTGAGTCACGCCTGGATCCACGGGACAAGAACCAACCGAGGTACGCCAGGTCCTTGAAGGCGAGAGTAGGCCAACCCTGGCTCACAAGCTCGGCCTTCCCACTGCCTTCTCTCCCTTTCCTAGGCTACAGAA